CATGTCACTGGAAGCATTTACAGCATTTATATAATGTCACCAGACCAGGAAGTAATGACTACATTTATATCATGCCTTTGGACGCATTTACAACATTTATATCATGTCACTGGAAGTAATGACAACATTTAACATTTATAACTATTCACAATGTCGTAAACAAAAGATTTCAACCACTCTTTTCACCTAAAACTGTGAACATTGAGCTAACGTTTCGCACAATAATTGAGAAAAAACTAAGAACTTCTTTTCTAGAAAATTGAAAGTCAACAGAAAATCTTCTAACGTGTGTCCTTTATCTATTTAGCTCGTATTTGTTTAAAGATCGGTTTAAATGTGCTGCACATTTGGTTATTTCCGGTCCACTATATTTAGCATGAGTAAGAGTATTTTAGCTTGAGTCTTGAAGATCTGAAACATGATTTTGAACAAGGTAAAATCATTTCCTCTTCTCATAGAATCTAAGCATTGGCACCTTGTATAACAATATCTATTTATTTATTATAATATTATTCGATTATCATAGATATAATTATAGAACAATACATTAGGCTAGTATTATACTATCTGTACACAAAATTGAAAAACAGTATCGTATTATTATGGTTTGTGTAGTTTCTCAATGATACTCTTTTTTCATTTCCTTCTTCTGTTTGATGGTCAATCGTTATTATTAGCTATCTCGCTGTTAAAATGAAATGAGGCCTACTCCTTTTCAATTTTGAACTGTCGACGGATCTTCAACTTGCACATCCAGTATCAATCAGGTCTTCGGTTTATTGTCCAATCCAATTGTCTTTTGATATCTTTTGACAGAATGAATTATAAGATTACTTTAACTTTATTAAAGAGTGGTCTGACTGATAGTTACCAATACAGAACTATTCATAGTGTCAATATTTAATCAAAATAAGTTAAATCACATGAATTTGAAGTAATGTAAATATTCTGTTATATGGTGAAGTAACCCGACAATGAATGGCGGTCAAAAGGCAGTATGATCACCGTGTTGTTGTTTACTCAGTCTTTTTTAACTGTAGCTTAATGACATCCGTATCTTTTTATAAGTGAATTTTCTTGTCATGCAGTAGTTGTGTGTATTGTCATGATAAATACTTATGTTGGTCTGCATTTACATAAGATTGACCTTTGACCCCTTGTATGTAATGCATTTTAGACCATGTGTGTGTTATAAGCTTGGTTTTACATATGATTAAACATACTTATGCGCCCGAATGGGAATATAGACAGTAGACGTTTATAGCTGCTGCCCTTGCTGCACGTCCGTCCAGATGCCTTGTAGCCGCAATAGAAGCTACAATTTTTTTTTCATTTTGATTCTCATATGTATATTGATGCCATCTCAGCCAGGTTAGTACGTGATATATTCGATAAACTCTTTTAAAATTTTTTGAATCATTGTAACTTAGCCTATATGTTCAAACGTATCAACTATCAATTCTATATTTATTTTTTAAAAAGCCATCTGGGACGTAACCTTTGATGTGGCCTATAATTAATTGTACTATTAATCTAAAAATATATCTACTTGACATACATTTGCTAAAATAAATGTACAGGTACGTTAACTTTCCTTCTTTCACTATTGTTTAGGTTTTTGCCTAAAAACAGAAGTTTTTCTCCTCCCTACTGTGTTCATTTCATGAGACCAAAGCTAATTCACGTCACGAGTTAGAACAATATGACCACTTGGTGTGCTTTTATTTTACCTAAACTATTAATCTTTTTATGTCACATTAAAGACTAAACAACAAACATAATGTTTATCTAAATAAAAAACAAAATACACTTTAGTGGATACTACCTTATGTATTGTTCTCATTATCAGCATTTTCAGAAACAAGTTCAGGTGTATATTAAATAGGGCGTCTCAGGCACATTTCAGATGTGGCGTAAGGTGTCGATTTTTCGATACCATAGAAAGGAAAAACCCAGTCTAATTTAAATTTGACCAGAGTTCGCTCCGTATTTTTTTAGCTTTCATTTTTTATATAGCCACATCAGTTAGGGTCTAAAGACGGCCTTCTAGCACATTCGTCTGTTCGATGACATCGCCAACCAATCAAATTCTCGCCCTCTCACGCGCTGGGATTTTGTGATGCAAAAAAAAAGTTTACATTGAGCTAACTGAAGTGTCTAAATTTAAAAAAAAGCTAAAAGAAGCAAAGGAAGAAAACCTACAGTATTAGCTGTTGGTATATCTGTCTCTTGAAAAAATCAGGGATAGATATTCATAGCTTTTTTGTTTTTAGTTCATGTATTACTTTTCAGAAGGAAAGGCGACGTAGGTCTCGTATTGAATTAAAGAAAAACGAAATAGCAAAGTCTAGTATCTGAATCCGCGTGGTATTAACAGTCGATATATTTACAGCACATTAACTCTTTTTTGATAAAACCGTTTCGACATGTGTTTAAATCTACAGACAAAACAAAATGAATCCCCCCCCCCCCCCCCAAAAAAAAAAAACACCACCTGGTAATATTGTATTTAAGAAATTCATAATTATATATAAACATCCAGGTGATTAAATCTTTGAATAATTATTATATTTAAACAGGATATATAATAATATTCTAATCAATATTCTCTTGTTATAGTATTATTATTTCTCCCTAAGGATATAAATAGAATATATCACCCATATTACGAATATACTTACAATTATTTATCCATTAAAGGGACATATTGCTCTAAATTGTGTCTTTAATCACTTCTATAGATCATAGCCGTGGTTATCCAAAGCCGATCATCCAGTCCCACCTCGACATAGCTTAAACGGTGCGGGCACACGAGCGGTCTTTGTCGGAGATTTTAATCGCCGGCTCGAATCTTGAGTAAAATCTTGCGCGTACCCGTCCTTCCACGATACGATTATCGTGTTGCTGACAGGATTTATAATTTCAAACAAGTTGTCTCCGATTGTTTTTTCGCCTGCATGCCAGACCATCATCATCCAATAAGTTCAAATTGCATGCTCCGCGCGTGATAATCCACAATGTCGAAAACGACTGACTGCGGAGATTTTGGTCTTCGAGTGTGTCCGTGGCAGTCGTTGAAACTCAAGACAGGACTCTAATCGGCGACAAAAGTCTCCTACCAAGACCGCTCCTGTGCCCGCACCTTTTAGGCAACGTCGAGGACATGAAAAGATTGGGTGTCAGAGACACCCTATAATTTTGAAGAATGGATTTGAAAAAAAATACCCAATATTATAAGAAATAAATAACCCAATTTTTCCAGTTAATGAAACGAAACTTTTAGAGTTTAAAATATATTTGTGCTAATTCCAACTAAATGTTTATGTACAACGGTAAATTCAGATGTTACAGAAGTTTGTCGTCTGCGTTAGGATTAAATCATTGCAACCATAATCATAGAGTATGATATCAAGTATTTAGCCATTTTTATTTGATATATTATGATTGTTACAACTTAGCACTAAATTTCATCATTTAGCCTCGGGCTGCACTTAACGTTGTATACTTTTCTGAAATCACTAATTTGGATGATTGATATTCTTAATAATGAAAGCAATCAATGCTGAAATATAAAATATAAGTTTGTTATAAGTAAGTTATTGAAAAGGTGGGCTCGGGTCGACTGGTAATTCGAAACATCTTATTGAATTCACCGTAGTTGACATAAGCAATCGAAAATTTATCCGACTGGTAGCAACTGCGAACAACTGGATGGTCGTTGTTAAAAAATAAAACATGAGCAGCTGGTGGCATTTGGAGGCAGCTTCACTCATGTCAACAAAACTCAGCTATTACATTGATCAGTTTAATACACATGTCACAAGAATCTAGAACTAGATAAAAAAAATTCTGGAGCAACATGTGAAGGAATCGTTTTGAAAAATGAAAATAAGTTATTGGATTGGATTCAGAGGTACAACTACAAATACTTTAAAGCAAAATTTTAACTTCGTTTGGCTAATTAAGCAGCCATCTTTACAAAAATGGCCGCCATCTTGTATTTTTTAATTTGTCCAATTAATCCCTGATATTATCTCCTTCTACGTCGTCGTAGCTGTGCGTGGGGAAAGTTGGACTGGATGATAGATAGATGATATTTGCCAGTATGAAAATAGGAAAATAAGTGTGTCCAGTTTGTTGCTTTTATCATCTTTTGCACAATTCCTATGAAATTATATCTTATGTTCCCTACTAACACAACAAATTTCCCTTGGTCTTTTTTGTTTTTGATACAGTAGTATTAATTAGCCACCAACATGGAGTTTTATTGAGATGTAATTGATAAAGATAGTTTGAAAGAAATGCTAAGAATTACTTACCGGGGGGTCACCAGTTGTAAGTCCACTTCTGACTCATTTTTTCACCTTACTTCCTATTGCGGTAATCCCCACTTGCCTCTGAATTAGTATTGATTTTCGTAAGCCGGTCATTGTTTATCTCATGTCCATAGATCACACTGTGAGAATAAAACGTGATGTATTACACAATTATCATTGACATTTTTCGGTCAAAGAAGTTGCTAAAAAATCTGATTAAAGGTATAGTTCCAGTTTTCACATATTCAAAATGTTTCATTTAAATACCCAGCGCCGTGTATTTCAATGGTTTTGAGATTCTCTAGTTCGTAGCCAATATATATTTTCCGTGGGTTATTACAGGCATACTTGGATCTGAAAATATTAATAAAACAGCGTTCAACGAACTGTATACTCTATATGATATGGTTCATATCATATTATGATTCATCAAATTTGTGAGACAAAGTTCGTAATAGCTTGTGAACGAAGAAAGACAAAATATCCAGAGCTCTGTTCATAACACGACAAGACAATAATCTTATCTGTGAAATTGCAAAAGCGAACTATACCTTTAATGAAAATATTATGAATGAAAATGACGTTTGTATATTGAAGGTATATCGCGTGTGGAGAATGACGAAATATAATATCAGTGCATGTTGGGATATAATATATAATATACGCTCGGGTATTTAGACATCAGGCAGACAGTTAGCGACATGGGTATTAAAGTATTAAACAGACATGATTAAAATATTGGGTTTAAAAGGGTAGATCTGAAGGATAATACGAAATAACACCATGACATTTTCAAAGGTAAGATATATCATGATGGTTTTTTTTAATAGCCTACGTACGTTATTTAAATAGATTACTTCAAATCTTGCGATATGGGTTTCGAGTATAGATCTGAAATGATTTTTTCTTCTTCTGGAACTCGAACGTCGAACCCAAAGAACCTAATCATTTACTTTCGACTTAGGCAGTAAATCACAGTTGTTTAAATCAGACATATTTTAATAGAAACGGTGAAATTTGAAAGTAATGAATAAATGTTCAGTCTCTTACTACAAGTTATTTTATGCCTCTAACCTCTGATAGGTCTACCGAAAGAAAAATCACGAAGCTTGAGACAAGATATAAATCTAATCATTCTTTAGTCATGTTTTATTTGTTTGTCAATTGTAAATATTACTTCAGGGTCACCTGCGACACACCTAATAAAATTTCATAATCCTTATCTATTTTAGTTATGGAAAATATTAAAACATATAACGGATGATTTGTCTTTAGAGGGATTGTCTGATCTTATTATATAGTTTATAACTGATAATAGGTTTTCTTTCCCCAGCACCAAAAGGTAGATGAAAAATTCGAGATGGAGACAGTTAAAAAAATAAATAAATAACCTTATAATTGTAAATTTGTACTATTCGTAAAAAAAAGTCTAGGTTTGTACGAAAGTATGTAAGTAATCTGTAATAATAATATATACATAAAAAGTTTGCCCATTTTAGATTTATCTTGACTAAAAAAACAGCTTTTGTTTATCAGTTATTTAATGTGTCAGTCTGCGAAATGATATGCAGAAATCTTTCGTCAAAAATAAAAGTTAAGGTCGTTTATGTTCGCTTTACCAACTAATTTCTTATTAGCATGATAAAAAAAATCAGAGTTTTGGTCATATAGTTCGCCATTTTCGGGATTTTTTTTGGGTTTTGGGTCTCCAGAACTACTCAAACTACACTAAATCGCAATATCCCTTCAAATATATTTCGAACTAAAATTCCACTTTCTTTTGCTACTGTCTTTTCTATTTATGGCGGAGTAAATTTTGATTCGATTCGATTGTTAAAATCAATATTATTGATTAGCTTTGGTAAAAAAATCCCATTTCTGAGACGAGTACGATGGGTCAGATTGATTGCGAACATCTCCCTTTAACTGATTGTCGAGAAATTTTAAAGCCTGTGGCTATATACGTAAATCAATAAGAAAGGGTTCAACACACTTAAAGCAAATCAGTAAATCCTCCCATTCGATTGGTCAAGGTTAATGAATTTAATATTGTTGTATGTTATGGTTTGTTTTCTGTTGTTTCTTTGATAAATAGTTTGATTGTCAACTATGAGAAACTGTTCACATTGTATTGGAGATAATTAGGATTTAATGGTCAATCTGTAATATCTATATGATAATCATAAAAAACAACCGTCGCTTCTCGCATTTTATTTAAAGTTAGTGTGTTCAGACGTTTAAAGTTAAGGCAACTATGACTTGCACTAATTTCGGAGGTGGTTTAAAACCTGGCCTAATAGTAAAGTCAGCTGTCTAAACGCTAGCTAGTTTAATATTAAGCCGATATGTCCGCACCTGCGTATTCCTCATTTATATTTTTCAAATTTTCTTACTACGTCTTAGAATGAACATAAAATTTAAGTATGGTCATTATGGTTATATATTCATCAATGAACTTAACTGGTGTCAGAAAGTTACAACAGAATCCCTGTAAAATCTAGAAAATTGGAAAATTTATAAAACTATTTAATTATTGAAAAACGCTTAATCTTAATATTATGCGTTTTCAATAGTTAATTGCATATTTATGGGTAATTTTTAAGTTTTTTGGATTTATCGGATTATATTAGGATCCTGTTATGTTATTTATGACACCAGGTATATCTACTGATGAAACTATGCTCTTGTTGGCCAAGTTTAAAATTTTTAAATTTTATGTTCATTCTAAGACTTCGTATTCCTTTAAATTCCAACATGTTATTCGTTATTAGTTGCATCGAATTCTAATTCAATTGTCTTCCTATTGTGTTTTTCAGGATATGCCAGCAAGTCTAGAGGACGGCGTCGATTCACATCGACAGATTGGAATTATTGGTACCGGAAATTATGCCCGAGCTCTGGCTAAACGATTTGTTCTGTCCGGATTTAACGTTATGATTGGAAGCAGACGGCCACTCCAACGACAATTATCAGCAATTGACGAATGTTTATGTGACATTGAATTGACCTCAGTAGCTGATTGTATCAAGAAAACTAATTTGCTAATTCTAGCAATTCACGCTGAAAATTATAAAGACACATTATCTCCGCACATCGGTGAGCTTTCTGGAAAAATCGTCATCGATGTTTCCAATAGGGAGGTTCCAGCAAGACGTCAATCTAACGCCGAATACCTGTCAACATTAGTACCAGACGCCCACATAGTTAAAGCATTCAATGTGATATCAGCTTACATCATGGAAACAGACTTTGCAGGTGGCAGTAGAAGAGTATTTATCGCAGGGGATAACGAGGAGGCTCGAGGAACAGTTTGTCGCATAGCACGAGACATGGGCTTCAACCCATCAGATCTCGGGGTTCTGACATCGTCAAGAAAAATTGAAAACTTTGTTTTGAACCTTTTCCCTGGTTGGAAAGTCCCCCTGTTTTTAACTTTTGGAATTTTTAACTTGTGGTGCTTATATATCGTTTACATATATTTTGTAGCCAAGACAGCTTACAGATGGGATCAAATCTTTGTTAAAGTCTTGAACAAACCGCTTTGTATGACTGGAATTACTATCTTAGCCACTACTTTTCTACCGGGGAATATCGCTGGCATTCTGCAACTTTATAATGGAACCAAACATAAACGATTCCCTAAATGGATAGACAATTGGTTGAAAGTAAGGAAACAATTGGGGATCATCAGTTTTGTGTTGATTTTTTCGCATGTGATATTTTCAATCCTCGTCATGAGTCCTACTTATTATCGATCTTGGTTCCAATCAACAATAATACAAATTCCCAGTAACCACACCTCAGATCTCCAATTTCCAATGACATCGTGGATGATCTGGAAGGGCGAAGCAGCGTGCTTAGTTGGCTTCTTGGCGTTTCTTATCCTGTGTTTCTTGGCACTAACATCTATACCCGGCGTTGGTGAAACATTGAACTGGCGCGAATGGCAGTTCGTCCAATCTAAACTAGGTTATTCGGCCCTGGTACTTTCTGTGGCGCATGCAATGATTATGGGAATACCAGGTTGGATCAAAAAAGGACCAATAAAAACGCTTGGGTCAATAACATTCCTATCCATTCAGTTACCATTGCTGGTTATAATATTGAGACTTGTGTTATGTTTGCCGTGTATATCAAAGCATCTTAAACGGATTCGTCGTGGTTGGGAAAGGGAGACAACGAAATTTCTTACGGATGATCATTTGGGAATCAAAGAAAAGTATACAGCACTAAATCCAGGTTGTGGCTGTTCGGGGAACTCGATCCATGCTTGTGAGACTGCTATAAGACCATTACCTAACTCTCAAACATTGTTACCGACTTCAAACCATTGTGATTGCTCTGTTGTGTGAACCGTAAACCACCATATCTCATAAACAAAATAAAGTTCAGCACTTTTTGATTAGAACGATAAATTTGATTTGGAAGTTATATTTATAGTACAGTATTCATGGGTCAACCGATGTTGCATTCGTCTATAATCCCCAAATATCGATCCCAAAGGGCGATGCCTTGACTCAATCAACGAATGAAAACGTACCAGAAATCACCTGACAAAAGTGAGATGGTTTTTTATACGCCCACATGAATATGTGGTCGTATATTGTCGTCGCCCCTGTCCGTCGGTCCGTCCGTCAACATTTCTTGTGAGCACTATATAGACTACAGTTTTCATCTGATTTTGATAAAACTTGGTGTGATGCTTTGGATTGATAAGATCTCGGTCAAGTTCGAATTTGACGCATTTTCGATGAACGGTTTTTGAGTTATTGCCCTTGACTTTGTAAAAACACGTCAAAATTTGTTAAAAATAGTTTGTGAGCAGGATTGAAGCTACAGTTTTCAACCGATTCTGATGAAACTTGGTGTGATCATTGGAATTTATAAGATCTCAGGCATGTTCTAATTTGACGCATTTTCGACGAACGGTTTTTGAGTTATTGCCCTTGACATTGTAAAAACGCGTCAAAATTTGTTAAAAATAGTTTGTGAGCAGGATTGACGCTACAGTTTTCAACCGATTCTGATGAAACTTGGTGTGATCATTGGAATTGATAAGATCTCGGACAAGTTCTAACTTGACGCATTTTCGATGAAATGTTTTTGAGTTATTGCCATTAACTTACGAAAAACGCGTCAAAATTTGTTTGTGAGCACAATAGAAGCTACAGTTTTCAACCGATTTTGATGAAACTTGGTGTGATCATTGGAATTGATAAGATCTCGTACAAGTTCTAACAAGAGATATTTTTGATGAAAATTTTTTGAGTTATTGCCCTTGACTTTGTAAACACGCGTCAAAAGTTGTTTTTTGCCCTTGATTAGAGCTGTGTGATTTAATTGTTTGTTGTGTTTGGGTTATTGATATTGATTTTAAAAAATTTTGTGGAATTATTCAGCATAAATAATTTCTTCAATATGAGAAAATTCGTACTTTAGTCACTAAAGACTGTTTTATTATTTCTGACAGCTGCCAGTGGGCGTATGTTACCTTGCATCGCAAGCTATCTTTTATTATGTTATAACCATTGCACGTACATTGTAAATTGTTATTTGGTATATAAAGGTATGGGCACGCGAACGGTTTTGGTCGGATATTTTTTGTCGCCGACTAAAGTCTTGTCAAGAGTTTCACCGACTGGCACGGGCCCCCGGGGACAAAAATCTCCAGTCGGTCGTTTTCCATCATGTCACGTGCGGAGCATGCAATTGGCAGAAAAATGAATCTGATTGTATGATGACGGTCTGTCTTGCATACGATAAAACAATCGGCGACAAAAAACTCCTACCAAGACCGCTCGTGTGCCCGGACTATTAAGTCTTGGTCGGAGTTTTTTTGTCTCCGACTCAATCTTGTAGAGTTTAATGGTGCGGACACGAGAGCGGTCTTGGTCGGCGATTTCTGTCTCACAACTAAAATCTTGTCAGAGTTTCGTCGACCGGCTGCGGGCGCACGAGGAGACAAAAATACGACAAATGTCGTACACGTGGGGAATACTGGGGATCATGCAATTGAAATGAAAATGAAAACGATTGCCATACAGGCGATAAAACAAACTGGTTTGATATGATAAATCCTGTCGGCAACACGATAATCTTGTCGTGGAAGCGCGGGCACACGTGAAATTTTACCGTTCGTGGCCCGCACCTTTATACTTTGAAACTCAATACTACAAGTGAGACAGGAATGTAAGTATTTGCTAAATTTTAGAAACTATTTTGTTACACAACGATAATATGATTAAAATTTAGTTTTTTTTATTGTAGCACGTGCAAAGAGTGAGGTTAATATGTCAGTAATGACATGTACACAAAACATCAGTCACTCCCCTATTGAGGCTTTTTATACGCCCACATGAAATGGGGGCGTATATTGCCGTCACCCATGTCCGTCCGTCCGTCGGTCGGTCCGTCCACAATTGCTCGTAAACACTCTACAAGACACAATTCTTGACGGATTTTGACAAAACTTGGTATCAGTGCTCGTAATCACCCAAGGATGAACCCTATTGAAAATCAGAAGAATCGAGAAATATTCAGTATAAGTTATTGCCCTTGTTCTTGAAAACGCGTTCAATTTTTAGCTCGTAAACCATCTAGAAGGGACAATTCTTGATGGATTTTAACGAAAATTGGCATGAGTATTCGTATTTACCCAAGGATGAACCCTATTGAAAATGAGAAGAATCGAAAAATATTTAGTATCAGTTATTGCCCTTGTTCTTGAAAAAGCGTTCAATTTTTAGCTCGTAAACAATCTAGAAGGCACACCTCTTGGTTGATTTTGACGAAACTTGACATGAGTGTTTTTTATCAACCAAAGATAAACCCTATCAAAAATCAGAAAAATCGAAAAATATTTAGTGTGAGTTATTGCCCTTGTTCTTGAAAACACGTTCAATTTTTAGCTCGTAAACACTCTAGAAGACACAATTCTTGACAGATTTTGACGAAACTTGGTGTGAGTGTTCGTAATCACACAAGGATGAACCCTATTGAAAATCAGAAGAATCGAAAAATAATTAGTATGAGTTATTGCCCTTGTTCTTGAAAACGCTTTCAAATTTAGCTCTTAAACACTAAAAGGCATGATTCTTGCTGGATTTCGACAAAACTTGGTTTTATTATTCAGTCCCGCGCTGAAGATTAAATATTGGCCTTCTAGAGTTTTCACGAGCTAAAAATTGAACACGTTTTCAAGAACAAGGACAATAACTCATACTCACTATTATTCAGTATCGCCCTAAAGAGTTCAAAAGAAGTGTATGACTGAAGGTTGAATATTTCATACTGGTGATTGTTATACTGTACTGCTAAATATTTTTATTCAAGATAGCTTGCCAGGCAAGGTAATACACGCCCACTGGCAGCTTTGATTTTAAATAAAAATATTTGGCAGTACAGTACAATACAGTACTATTACCAGTATGAAATATTCAACCTTTAGACATACACTTCTTTTGAACTTTTTGAGGCGATACTGAATAATATTATCAAATCCTGTCAAGAATTGGGCCATCTAGACTGTTTACAGACCAAAAATTGAACGCGTTTTCAAGAACAATGGAAATAACTCATACTAAATATTTTTCAATTTTTATCCATGGGTAAATAACAAACACTCACACCCAGTTTCGTCAGAATCCGTCAAGAAATGTGCCTTCTAGAGTGTTAACAAGCTAAAATTGAACGCGCTTTCAATAGCAAGGGCAATAACTCATACTAATTATTTTTCGATTTGTCTGATTTTCAATAGGGTTCATTCTTGGATGATAACAAACGCCAATTTTCGTCAAAATCCTTCAAGAATTGTCCCTTCTAGAGTGTTTACGAGCTAAAATTTGATCGCATTTTCAAGAACAAGGGCAATAATTCATACTTAATATTTTTCGATTTTCTGATTTTCAATAGGGTTTATCCTTGAGTGATAACAAATATTCATGCCAAGTTTCGTCAAAATCCGTCAAGAATTGTCCCTTCTAGAGTGTTTACGAGCTTGAACGAGTGTGTGAGGAACCCTATTGAAAATCAGAAATATCAAAAATAATTGGTATGAGTTATTGCCCTTGTTCTTGAAAATGAGTTCAATTTGTATCATTTGTAAACACCCTAGTATGCACAATTCTTGATGGATTTTGACGAAACTTGATGTGAGTGTATGCTGTCACCCAAAGATAAACCTAACGAAAATCAGAAAAATCGAAAAATATTATTGCCCCTGTTGTTAAAAACACGTTCAAGTTTTAGCCTTTAAACATTCTAGAAGGCCCAATTCTTGACAGATTTTGACGAAATATGGTAATATTATTCAGTATCGCCTCAAAAAGTTCAAAAGAAGTGTATGTCTGAAAGTTGAATATATCATACTGGTGATTGTTACTGTACTGCCAAATATTTTTATTTAAAATCAAAGTTGCCAGTGGGCGTATATTACCTTGCCTGGCAAGCTATCTTTATTCAATGTGCTTCATTGTTATTTCTATTTCTAATTTTTATTTCTTAATTTGCACGCTTAATTCAACATTTGTTATTGAAAATTGACATTTATATACAAAAATCATAATTTGTACTAATATGAACATTCTTCGATAAACATTCGGTTTTCCAACAATGAAGAACATTTAATAAAATGCCATTCCACCTTCCATACACTATACATTTAAACCGTAAAACGTGTTATAACTTCGATTTAAGCTTGTTCTACCACAGCTAACGATTTGTTATGGAATTTCTGAACATGGGCCAGGTTGGTAAAAAAAAATATTATTTAGCGATAATTGGAAAAAAGTCAAATGTTTTATAACTATTCCAATCCGTCTTAAAGATGGCTTTTCTTATTTTTTTTTTAGTGTCAAATTAAGCAAACTAATTGATTAATTGGTGTTTCTAATGAATTATCATGTATTCTCAATCATATCAGTATGTTCTTATTGCATATACCTAAGAGTTTTACCAATCGTAAATGTCCATGTATGTACAGTCTGGATAAACAAAAAGACTTTCTGACCTGTCTTGATCGGTCACTCATTAGAATTCTGCTGGTAATTCTCTTCTAATTTAGCTAATTATGAATTAATTTTGGACATATGAGACAAACTGGTATTTTATTTTTCCATGTCATAAGAACACCTCTACTTTCTATATTCATAAACATGTTCAACAACATTTTGAGAAGATGTTGGTCAAAAAATTGTTAGTGGACCTACATGTTGTCTAAATGTTGCTGAAATAAATACATGATAAATTTTGTTACCGAGATGCATATGATGCTAACAATTAACAGAAAAGATAGTGGACCACAGCCATATACGCCCACCACGGCATGCGGATGGTAAAAACGAAACATCCATTTTAAGTTTCATGAAAATCGTTTGAAAGCTATAAGAGTAATAGTATATTCAAGATTTTTGGGCAAGGGCAATAACTCTGCTTTTAACGGTCGAAAATAGCTCAAATTCGAACTTGATCTTCGCTTGATAAATATGTATGCACATACCGAATTTCATTTGATTCCTCCAAACACTCTAGTTTTTAGAGTGTTTACAAGCAAATGTTGACGGATGGGCGGACCGACGAAGTGTTTACTAGCAATTGATGTTGATAGAAGCACTTACTGTACAAGAAGGTCAAAGGGTGATAACTCCTTAAAACTGACTTAAGAGGCCTAAATCTTGAAAAAACCTTAAATTTAATCAGAAGTAAAATAAACTTTCTCAAACCTTTCGATTTAGGTCCAATAACATCCATTTTATGTTTCATCAAAATCGGTTGAAAACTAAGACAGTAATAGCATATTCAAGATTTTGGGGCAAGGGCAATAACTCTGCTTAGAACAGTCGAAAATAGTTCAAATTCGAACTTGATCTTCGTTTTGTCAATATGTATACACCTATCGAATTTCATTTGATTCCATGAAAAACTCTAGTGTTTAGAGCTTTTACAAGTAAATGTTGACGGACGGACGAGAGATGTGGGCGTATAAAAAGTATTATCCCTTTAACATCCGGTACCAATTGACTAGTAATGTTGCAAATGAGTTGAAATTCAACATGACTAAAGAAATTGTGATAATTCATTGAATCAGTCGGCATATTCTGAACCTGGGGTAATAGTTTGTTATCGTATCCATGTGGGATGCATTTCAATTTTTATGCAAAGTTATTAAAAGACAATCGTATCACGAATACGGCATTTTACATTGTGTTAATGAAGTAGCCTATGACGAATGAGGACGTGATTTGGACACGATGTTATTAAAGACTAGATGTTATAGGCTATAAGTGAGATACAAGGCCATACGACACAAAACAGAGATAACTTTTGATTATCATAAGGTGTTTTTTAGTAAAAACTAACTGTTAGTAAATTCATATAAGAAAGAACCGATATAACGGTTTTATACTCATACTCACACACCATCTCACATTCCTTTCATGTTCATCTGTAATAACGAAAAGGGGGCCTGCAAAGACTAAACAGTTAAAAGTAAAACATCATAAATTACGAAGGTTTAAGGCGGCCATGAAATAAGAAATTGCTTAAATTTTCGTTTCTTTTAAATGCAACAACAATTCGTTTAGTATATACCTGTGGGTAGATAGATTGGAGTTCAGAGAAAAATCGTTTAACAATGATTGCGGCATTAGCAGCAGTTCTATTAAAAGTTGTCACAAAAGGTATTATTTGATTATCGTGCTGGATATTAAAACCGTTTGGCATTAGAGTTTCAAGTTGATGAATCGAATAGCTTTCTCTTTGTAACCGTCTTAGCTTAGGTTTTGTAGCATCATCCTGATTTACTTTTTCAATCGGCATAATCGTTAGGTCATCAATGGAATGATCGGGAAGGTCAAATTGATTTGCAATGGGTCTATTTTTTAGCATGTTCTATGTCATAGCGGTGACAATTAAATCGTGTTCTTTGAGTTTCATAAGGAAAATTTTGTCATTTTGGAAAAAATAGGTAGTATCAATATGTTTACAAGTGTGACACGCTGTAACTCAACCGGTAGTGGGAGGAGGGGGTCGCTTAGCTTTTTATTTTTCAAAAGAGTTTAATTTTTAATTTTAAGCAGAAATCGTTTAGAATATCCCCTCTCTCTCAATTTCTCAAAAACTAGGTTACAGGCGGATTCAAAATCGGCCTGTCGCGTACAGATTCTATGAAACCGTAAAATCGGTGATTTTATTATACATACCAGAAGAAGTGTGCTTCGGATGGAACGAGTTTTTATATAAAAGTTGGTGCGTATCTGTTTCTTTAAAGTCTAATTTATTAGTTTGTGTAATACATGTCTATATAATCTCTTTGGTAGGTTATATTTAAGTAGTACAAGTCGTTATCAAACAGACTACCGTGGAAAGTCCACTAGCCAGTGGCGGAGCCAGCCCCCAGAGACTGGAGTTACAAATAGGGGACAGACTGACTTAAATGTCGAGGTTTAGATTCAATGAGACCATTCCGTACAGCGCAAAGGCGATAGCATCCTATGGAGTTTCTAAGAGAGTTCTCATCTGAGAAAAAAACGTATGATAATCATATTCTAAATTAATTGGAAATGAAGTGGAGATATAATAGGGTGTAGGGCCTACCCACCAATTTTCTAAAGGGTGGTAAATGACCGTGTGTCATAGAGTTATATATAGAATATTTATAACTCTATGCTTTCCCTGAATCAAGGTGAGAAACAAGGTGAGAATCAAGGACAGGTGTAACGAAACGTCCTACAACTCTGGCAACTCTGAACTTGACTTTCGCGCGCTTTTAGCGCGGACGTAATTGTAAGCATTTAAATTCAAAGCTTTCCATTGGATGTATATATTTTTATTACCGCCATTTTGGTTTTCATTTTCGATGTTAGTATAAATACTTCTGAAATTGGCGCTTTATTTCATTCAGCTTAGAAATATACAAGCGGGAAGGCAGCGATACATTTTAAATCCCAACTGCATTACATCAAATTACAATGTCTGGTCGAGGAAAAGGCGGAAAAACAAAGGCAAAGGCCAAAACACGTTCATCGAGGGCCGGACTTCAATTTCCTGTTGGAAGAATTCATCGGTTGTTGAGAAAAGGAAATTATGCTGAAAGAGTTGGTGCTGGTGCTCCAGTTTATTTGGCTGCTGTATTGGAATATTTAGCAGCCGAAGTTTTGGAATTGGCGGGAAATGCTGCGAGAGACAATAAGAAATCAAGAATTATTCCTCGACATTTGCAGTTGGCTATTCGAAATGATGAAGAGTTAAACAAACTATTATCCGGTGTCACAATTGCACAGGGTGGTGTACTACCAAATATACAGGCCGTTTTACTGCCAAAGAAATCTGCTAGTGCTACTGGGGCATCTACTGGTGGAAAAGGTGGAAAGAAGTCTTCACAATCTCAAGAATATTAGGCTCTTGATATTAGGACTCTGGCCTGCCTGCCATTAACATTTAAACAGTGGTGGCAGTGACATTAATCAGTGTTGTTTTAAATTGTAGGAATACAGTATTTACTACTGTATCTGTTCATGCATCAGTTTGATTTTAGTGTCATTTTTAGCCCTTAACTTATCATTTGCTCATATAGGCCCATTGTCTTGCTTTCACTTTGTTTTAGCCATCATTTTTTATCTCTTGACATATTGGACCATTGTTATTACATTGTACTTGACATGGTTAATTCTTTCATTTCTTGATCAACATGTCTGCTTTTTTATTCATTCTGTTTTTCATCATTTGTAAATAAATCTTGTCCATTCATATGGTTATTTCTATGCATTTACATGAAGACAACAATTGATGCAGGTTGGAAGCAAGCATCTTGTATTTCAGATTTACCTAAATCAAAGATATCTAGAAAGGGTTTGGCAAAATTATCCCCAACAAGGTGCCAAGAAAGACATATTTTCATGCAAAACACTTGTGGATTAGCTGCCTTACAAGCAATTCAGAACAGCTGTTGATGTTAACTTTGCAATATGCTCTATTCCTGTCCTACATCTAGTTCCTTAAATGGTGGAAAAGCAGCTTTGGAGTCTAATGAATGATTTCTTCTGGTAGTCTTCTGTGTCCCCATTAAACATTCTATTGCAAGAGACAAAGTATTGGAAAGGATACTCGAGTGTCCACACATTACACACATAGTTTAGATAACCCTTTAAAAATCTCTTTCATAGCTGGACAAAAATGTCTGTCTACTGCAGTGGGTTTACATAGAACTGATAGATATTTCTTGTAATCATGAAATTTAGAACTTAAAGAGAACAATGAATATGGTCTATATTTTATTAAAAAATAAAATGACTATATAGCAGTAACACACAGTGAGTGGTTAACATAAAGAGTGCTTAATCTCCATTAATAAGCTACCATTCTGATTAACAGTAAATTTTCTTCACTTCACCTGCCATCATAAAATTGTAAAATTGTAAAGCATCGAATATTCACTGTACTGACTTGTAGCAGCTCATCATTTTAACATTATTTTTAGACAGATAAATAACAATAATTAATTATTCATGACAACTTTTGTAACAAGGGTGTTGAAATTCCACACAATACCAGTCGAATTGTCAGATCATGGATGGCAAGTGTTACACCCTGCTGCAAAATCATGCAACAAAAAGTCTATATCTGCATTTTAATCACACTGATATTCAAATTTTGTTCAAAGTTCAATGTATGACTGAAGGGAGATAATTCAGAAATCTTTGAATTTGCTGTTGTAGGATACGGTAAATATCTAACATACAACATCAGAAAGTATACAGTCACAATAATGTACAATATATGTAATAAAAATATTTTTGTGATAGATCAAGGTTAAGATGATTACTAGAGGAAGGGACCAACGACAGCAGTGAGCACACAATAAGACAGATAACCATCAGTCAGTCGTTTTGCATTGGTTTTTCGTCGATAATTAAGTCACATGGTGTTATATGTCATATGGTATAATAAAATAAAACACGTTATAAATTAATTATAGAACGACTGATTGGATAATGAAACCCTTAAGAGTTGTGTCTTGTCTTAATTGCGGACATAAGGGAGATTTTACTCAAGAGTTATAAAAATCGATTGTTTGACCCTGCTTAAGATCAAAGAAATAACCAATAAAATATGCAACCCTCTTTAAAAAATGATATTGAAGCTATTTCTTTTATACAAATAGAATACAAAGAACTATTATGAGTTTTCACTAATGTATTAAAAATCTACAATAAATAACCTTTGTTTACTCCAAATTAAATAAATTTCATATTTATAGCACCCTGCTGAAATAATTCCCATTATCTCATCTTGATAAATATATGCCTTATCTCTCAACAACTTATAAGTTATCGGATTAAATTTCAACCTGAGACGATATTGTACAACAAAGCTTCCATTTGTCTAAAAAAAACAAAGAGTTACGAACTAAAAGAAGTTATGACATGGGATGTGCCATTCTAATATGTCATAAAAACATTCAGTCTAAAATTAGATCAAATTTTCTGTTTTTGTTAGTGTTCATTTCTATTGTAGCCACTCAAATTAGGGGCTAAGTCTGCACTATAAAACATTCATCTATTTGATAATACTGCCAGCCAATCAATATTCACTAGCATACAATCTTATGAAAACCCTGCATTCAGTGATACAAGTAAAGAGGCTATTTTGCTTGACATTGTACAAATGCACTGAAACTCAACATTGTTGAACATGCTATTTCATTGGTTGTTTTGTAACCTATTAGCCTAGTATAATTTGATTGGCTAAAGCAGAGGTTATCAGGATAAGTGAAAAAAAGGCTAACAAAAAACGCAAAGTTTGTTCTAATATTACTTAGGACTGAAAAGCATAGAAATGGATACTGGATAATGGATTAAAACGCACCTGTTACAATTTGATTCAGAAGAAAGAAAAGACATAGGTTTATCAAAATTAATACATATTTAAGTCCTATTCATTTTTATACTTTCAACTGGTAAAAACTTTTTTAACATCTTCAAAGACCTAGAAATACAACAACACGGCTTTAGAACAAAGGTTAAAAACAAAATGATGTTTTATTTCCAAATTGTAAATAATTTTAATGAAAGCAAACTGCAATCTGATAAAGAAATTGTTTTTCTGCCATGGTTTTGAAATTACCACAATTTAATATGATCATCTTATAAATTTCAACTTATTTTCAGATCAATGGTACATATATCAAATGCATAATGATTCTATTATTGTTTACAACAAACCATTGGAGATTAATATCTAACCTTATGTTGTCAATACAGATAATAAGCCAAATCCTAGTTTGCTAACTTGCTTCTAGTCAAAAATTGTATTACTATTACCAAAATCATAATTATGGTTGAGAGGTGCAATCAATTCCAAGAATAATCGTTAATTAATTATCATTAATGTTTCAACAAGCTAAAAGTTGAGCCTATAGGTCATGTAGGCCTACTATCCTTACCTCATCTTGAGACTTCTCTGCTGCTATTTCTGTAACTAAATCTTGTGATCTATAATGTTTTATTATTGGCATGGTGGCATTTGTATATGTATCTATTCTGTAAGAGACAGCAAAAAAATATCATAAATTCTCGATCCATTTCAGATTAAAACTAATGTCAATAATGACATATAACAGTGCTTGATGACGTACTATAACTGGCTGCCTTGTAATCTTGGCATTATTGAACAGTGTAGTCTTTAGTGTGAAAATCTAAACTTCCCCTCTCATTATTCCATTTGACCTGGCTGTAAATAGTGACAGTGAGCCGCAGTGGCTCAGTGATTTAGACGCTTGCTCGTTAACCTGAAGGTCCAGGGTTCAATCCAGGCATAGGTCGAGATAATACATTTGGATTTTTCAACCCAATTTCCCCTGTCTGTGATGCACGTAAGATGGGTTAACATGGATAATGCAGCTGGTCGTTCGGATGGGACAATAAACCAAGGTCATGTGTGCTACAAGTTGTGCATGTTAAAGATTCCTCAACAGTTGGAAATCAAAAAAAAGCAGGCTTATGCTCTCCATCCTGGAAAAATTTCCTTCACTGCACCCTGCATGGCATCTTTATTAGCCCACATGGTGCAGAAAATTAGGATGTAAAACTTCATTCATTTTGTAAATAGTGACAGGCCATACAGTAAAAACAATGCCATGAGGTTTGGCCATAACATTCAAGTTTATTGTAGTTCTTATTTTTCTTACATACCTTTTAACTAAACTTTCTTTGTTATCATCTGCCCTACCACTTGTTTTACCTCTATCTAAACATCTGTCTACACATATCTAATAAAAAAAATGTCATTATCATTGTTATATGTGTCTCAAAAGCATTGGCTGTAATATTTCAACTTGTATTTCAATGATTTTTGTTGACATTTCTGTGATAATAGACAGCTGGCCAATTTGTAAACAAAATACTATGCAAGAGGACAAAAAATTGTCAACTTGAAACTCTGCCTAGACCTGATTAATTCAATCAATAATCATTCAATAATCGACTGTAACATCAAAATGCTATTGGATTCTATCCAGAAATCTTTTACAACTAAGATACTTGTTCAACTTACTTGTTCTGGGCAGTTAAAAAATATTACTCTTGAAACTTTAGCTATATTTGTCATGGTTTCATTCCATCCATCTAAATTATCTTTATTTCTGGGAAAACCATCTATTAGAAAATTTCTTTTACCACTATCTTTCATTGCCTGTCAAAATATTATTTATTCTCCAAACAAATTCATGCAATATAAATGATCAAACTCATCAAAATGCAAATCTGGTTTTTTCAATTAATGTTTTCTCTGCAATATTCTACATTAGACACTACACTGTTAACAGTCAAGGACACCAGATATGGGAAGTAGAGTCAGTAGAAGAAACATGTAACCAAGTTGAGAATCTGTTCAAATTTCATTTGCTCTGACCTGGCATAACAAATATTTAATTTTAAGTGTTCTCAATGAATATGACTTTTGCATTAATGATATTACGTTTAGAACAAAATTATTGCTATACCCGAGCTAATAAAGCACATGTTATTTCAACAGGAACGATTGAACCATCTTTAATATGTCTTTCTATTTCTTCTGCATATTGTGAGTCTTCTTTTTTCCTTTCTGCTCTTAATAAATCACCAGCTGATAAATGAACATAACCAAACTCCTAAAATATTATCCATAGAACAATTCTAATGCTTTGAAAATTTCAGGTAAGCCTACATGTATATTATGGGATTTTAATTTTGATAACTGGTGCTACTGCTATAAAAAACCATTAGCCGAAAGGTTTCTCAATTAATTTTTTATCAGTGTAAATCTGATACCATAAACATAAAAATAATATTTTAGCAATATATAGTAGTGAGCATGGACACAATTTGGTTCTTTCAATTATATTTATTATAGATCTAGGGCCTATATTTAGTAATAAAAAACATTTATGCAGTGACTAAGTTCTATTAATTCTAAATACCTTTTCTATTTTCTGACATTGTGTGCCTTTTCCAGCTCCAGGCCCACCTAATACAAATATCACTTTGTATAGAGAATCTGACATTTTGCTGTAATAGGACAGAAGAGAACACTTGTTCAATTTCTTGACAACGTCAGTATTTTGAATATTTACACTGTTGTTACTGTTACTTTTGGTGAATGTGTTGGCCCTATTATTACTACCACTCCCTATTACTAATAATGGTTGTAATGGCTGTTGTGTAACCACACGGCGAAAAATTGTCGTGGCAATTTTGCTACGTTAACCTGCCCTTAGGTCGACTTCTGAAATAATTAACTACCGTTTGAGTGGGCGTAGTTCCAGTACAAAAAAATTAATTTTGACTTAATTGACAGGTGTGCTTGAAATGGGCTATAACAGAAGTTATTTTTCTATATTTCTTCATAAATTGTTCATGGGATGACAGATAAAACTATTAACACAATGGCTAATATATCAAAACTTAAAAATTCCAACCGAATGTCTCTAGAATAAAAAGTTACTGGGTAATTTGTTTATGTGTACCCAACTTATAACAAATCAACAAAAGGTAAACATGTGTACAGGAAGTTTAAGTCAAATCGAGGCTGCGCATGCCTAGTTCAAAGTATGTTTGACTGCTAAGCGCCAATGTTGTGTTTATAAATTTGGTAAGATAAGACAAGTGTCAAAATGTTTTTTTTTTACCAGATATAAAGATCATGACATTCGAAATTAATATTGATGTCACTATGTTGATGTTATGTTTATCCTAGTTGATTTGCAGACTTTTTTCATAATTATGTTCATTTTTGTTTATCTTTGACAAAAACATTCAAATGAAATTAATGACAATGTTCTTTTTGCTTGGCTGAACAGTTACATTTTATTGTTACAACTTACTGTGTACGCTGAGAGTACCCTATATCTGATGACATTTAGTAAATAAGTTCCAATTGCTAATCTCTGAAATACTGAACCAAAGTAACTCATTAAGTCTAATCAATAATCCTCTCTAAATCCTGTGGTAGTTGAGATTACAAGTAATCACATGTTCATTCACTACACTACAATTCATTGCCCGACTAACTATAACTTGTCCAAACATGTTGATAGAATGAATGTCATGTAGAGAATTTTATGAATCAACTGTTCAGTGTTTCTTGTTTTAAATTTTTATAAATTTGGAATAATTTTGAAAGATTGTGAAGCTAATTTCATCATTTGAAGGTAGAGTACTATACTGTTTTTGCTGTAGTAATCATCAAATTAGTATTAAATATTAAAAATAGACAGGCCTAATACAGGTAGATCTACAGGTATTTTTGTAGGAAAAAAATATTTAAATATTCTTGATATTGAGACAAGGCTAAGGGAATGGGTTGGTGAGCTCATTGCTAGAGAAACCTTAATTCAATGGTTATTAGTTAAAATTTGAATTGTCAAAATACCGCCAGATCAACTTCAAACCTTATCATTTATTGAAATTTTTCTAGTTTTTGTGAAAATGACTTTAGGAATTATCAAGATATTGATTGAAACCAAATCCAGATCTTGGTAATAAATCGCTTCGAATAATTCAAATGAAGCCTACAATTGTATGGTAATTTGTTACGATCTTGTACTTTTTCTCATTACATCTGACAACTGAAGTGAAGTTGGCTATACTAATAGCCAAAAAATTTGGAGACAAAATCCCTTAAAATGGATATTTTTCTTCTTACATCTCAAATGTGTAATTTCCTATTGCTCAATCTTCTGATTCACCCAAAGAAAGGTCTATGTAATCTCATATAAAATTCAAGTTTTTTTTATACGCCCTCATGAAATGGCGGTAGCATATTGTCGTCACCCATGTCAGTCCGCCTATAAGGCACAATTCTTGACTGATTCAACGAAACTTGGTATGGTTGTTTGTAATCACCAAAGGATGAACCCTATTGAAAATCAAAAAAATCGAAAAATATTTAGTATGAGTTATTGCCCTTGTTTTTTAAAAGGCTCGTAATACTCTAAAAGATGCAATTCTTGACGGATTTTGATGAAAATTGGTGTGAGTGTTTATTATCACCCAAGGGTGAACTCTATTTAAAATCAGAACAATCAAAAAGGAATTGGTATTAGTTATTGCCTTTGTTCTTGAAAATGCGTTCAATTTGTAGCAATTGTAAACACTCTAGAAGGCACAATTCTTGATGGATTTTGACGAAACTTGGTGTGAGTGTATGTAATCACCCAAAGATAAACATAACGGAAATCAGAAAAATATTATTGCCCTTGTTCTTAAAAACGTGTTCAAGTTTTAGCATTTAAACACTCTAGAAGGCACAATTCTTGACAGATTTTGATCAAACTTGGTGATTTTATTCAGTATCGCCAAATATTTTTATTTTAAAATTAAAGCTGCCAGTGGGCGTATATTATCTTGCCTGGCAAGCTATCTTTATAGAGAAATATGAATAAATTATATTTTTATATTTTTCAGAAGTATTAGGTATCACATTGAGGTATAAACAAGAATGGTAGTTTAAAATGATATTTTAGGACAAACAATGCTTCATTATTTTTTATGTCAGTCTTTGGTAAGCACAAAAGATTTTTTTAAATGTATGATAATCATACAAGAAATCAGATTATATTATGTCGTCTGTATCCAACACTATATAACAAACCTGCCCCTGATTAAGTCTGGTTTTATTTGGCATTTATCTAGCATTCAAGATTATAGAATATACGTATGGGTAGTAACTATTTCATCTTGTCCAAACCACACTCCCATTCGTTTTGTTCCTCGGGGCAACACAAATGAGAAAAATTACGTTTTCGTGGCTAAATATTGTCCAATCAAAATTGGCCCTGCTGTATTGGTAGCAGATTGCAACCAATCAAAACAAATCACTCGTTATGATGCTTTGTTTGTGAATGTAAACAAAACGAAAGCAGCACACCATTACATATTTTGATGAACAAGTACGGTACAGAATTGAGTAAGATTTTCGTTAAGGGATTGAAGCCAAGAGAAAATAAAACCTTACTATATGGAAAGTAGAAAGAATGTGTTCTTATCTTTTCAAACGGTCGGCGGCAAAGCAGTTTTGTGTTTTGTTAACATGACCTCATTTCAGTTCTACCGATCTAATTGGTCAGATTTAAATGCCACCAATCTCATTTCCACGCCCCCAAAACGAAGTATAGTGGGCTTAGTTTAATACCGGTTAATAAAACCATGTCAAAACCTGTATTTGTGATACTGTACGATGGAACTAATTAAGCCTTTTAACTGAGATCGAAAAATATGCTGATAGCCTTATTATGGATTTGAAATTGAATACACAACTAATTTGATGCCATATATGTGATTCATACAATGGTTTGATTTTTCAAGGTTATGACATAAATGGCTGCTTCAATAAGCATAAGAAATATGCCTGACCATATATGGTCACAATTAGATGCATCTGGTAAGCAATCAAAACAGAAAGGGTAAGTTTAATGTTTAATCATGATAATCATTCATTGCATATTAAATTGTATTAAATCTCTTGCAAGTTAAAAATTCTTAGATAGCTTAAATCACAAAAATGTGAATTATGTTGCCGGTATGTAGTTGTGACAAAACTTTGTTCAATGTTTTTTGCATTGTCTAACTTAAAAGAATTGCATTTTTATTTGTACTTGTGTATGTATATCAGGAACTTTATCACTTCTGCACCATTGCCAAATTTGACGTTAGCAGTTTCTGTAATTCCAGAAGAAAATAGAAACTAGAAATATATTGTTAAAAAATCTCTTCGAGGTTTGTAGAATTGACTTGTGGTAGTTATAATTCTGGCAATGTATGAAGTTTAGAAAATCTCTGTAGATTGAAAATCAGTTTTCGAAAAGAAATAAACCGTTATTTTTCTGTTTTTGATTTTTAGGCTTAGTCCAGGTTATGATGCATTACAGTTTCCCAAAACGAAAGTTATTTTATGGGATCCAACACCAACTGGTTCACCAGTTTACCTCAATGTGGCTTGCTATAGGTCATTAAGACTTTTTCTATCTTTCTATTATTCTTAACTGATAAAGTATATTTCCAATCTATATAATCTTTGCCTCTATGGTGGTGGCTAAACTGAAAGTTTTGTTTTGATTCATAAATATTTTAAGATAATGCTTTTACATTTTCACTCTTGATTGTAGAGTCTTTATCTTTTGAATATATAGTTAATTACAAATATGAAACCCTGTTTCAACAGATCATAATGGCAAAAAACAGTTTGCTCATGCATGATGTAATGGTTTTTTACATTAAGTTAATTATTTTTCTCTTTTAGAAAGCCTAGAGTGCATTTATCAGATAAATTATTACGATTGTTACATCGTCAGTGTGAAAATCATCCTCAACAATGTCTATCTACGATGTTATTAGGATCACTTGTAGTCGATGATGGCAAGTATTAGATAATCTCTTATTCTATATGGTTCAACTCTTTAGGTCAGTCTAGTGTAGTCCCTGTAGGAAGTAGTTTTTAAGTTGTGATGCTCCTTTTCAGTATTAAGGTGTATTGAGTTGAGAAATTATGATAATGATAATTGATAGAAATTGAACTATTCAAAAGCTTCAAAATTTTATGCCTTCTTTGAAGTTCCACCAAATGTTTGTTCTGTCATATTTTTTTTTTACATCACTCTAAAAAAAAAAGATAGTCAAATTATTAATCTTGCACTAAGAAATGAAGTACAGAATAAGTAAGGCTTACATTAGTAGAAAGTAAAACTCCTTTGTATATATTCTTCAGATGGTGAAGGAATAACATTCCAGATGGATCGTTTAGATACAAGACAAGATATAGATAGTAGTTTAAACTTAGCACCAGAAGATGTCACCATACCATTTCAAGTAAGAAGTTTTAATCAAGGATGAAAGTTTTAATCTCTGTCAGAGATGGACTTACTGAAGTCATTTTTCCTCATTATTTAATTATTAATGCCTAAATAAAGCTGTAAATGGCTAAGGATAATTCTGAAAGATCATAACCATGAGGTTGATATACCCACTTGTAAGGATTTTTAGAGCCTAATGGATGAAAAATCTTCTTTCCTCTCTAACCTTGAGTCTGTTTTATCAATCTTGGAAGACAGAAAATCATTTTTGATAACAATTATGTGGAAATACGTGTCATTATTTTTATCATGGAATTGTACTGATGTTTACATCATATTTTGTTAAGGTTTATATTAATGGAAGTAAAGAGAGAAATAGTAATGTAGATGAATATAATAAATTATTAAAGGTAAGTGCTTCTGAAGATATGCGAGCTTCTTTGGTGCCCATCTAGTCGTTTAGGCTAGTATAATTTGTTCCTTGAATTTTCATAGTAATTTTCCAATTTTGTTAGGAAGTTCTGCACTGAAATACCAGATGGTTTTACATTGGTCAACCATAGTGCCTAACATCAAACTATCAAGACATTGAAAAATACTTGCAATTAAATGAGATTTGTATAGAATAAAAGGGTGTGACTACTGTATAAACATTCAGTGATTTATTATTGAAATATCAGTCCAAGTAGATAATAAAAATCTTCACCTATTCATATCAATATCACTTAGTGTATGTCAAGACTTGTTTCTATTCAATTCTTTTATCTATTGTTAATGGTTGGTATACTTTTTCCATTTGCCCTTTTGGTTGTTTAACAATGTCTAAACTTGATCCTAATGACTTTAGGCAAATGTGGCTATTGTATAAGATGGTCATAAGATAAAAATTAGTGTTGAAACGGTTAATCATTTAACCGATTTCGGGTATGTTTTCACGCGAAAGCGACATTTCACTAAAAGTGATTTCACGATTCCAACAACTAATTCGCTACTTGGGAAGCTGGAATGGCTCAGTAAGTTAGATGCATGTATGGGTCTGGAATTCAAGCAAGGCATTTTTCTAATGTGATATCAACCCAATTTCCCTCAGACAGTAGTGTGGAAAGGAATCTGAGATGAGACAATAAACTGCTACAGTCTCTTCATATTAAAGATTCTTCAACAATTGAAAATTGAAAAAGAATAGTCTAGTGTCACTGTCCTGGAAATTTGGTCTCTCACTGGAGTCACTGCACACTGCATGTCAATCCCTTTCTTCATGAACTTTAATTGCTGCAGCAGAAATGTAAAAACTCCATTTAATTTAATTTTCAATGCTCTTTTAGTCACTAAAATCAAGATGTAAGAGTAAAGAGAGTGTAGATTTAGGAGGATTTCTACTCATTCAAGGCTGGTGTAACTTCTATTCTGGTGGTGAAAACTGTGTTGTCCATATTGATTTCAATATGGTTACCATAACAACAGAATTAAAAGCTATACCTATTTTACCTGTACCAATTGTCCCTACTGCCTTATCTAAAAATCTTGCTGGTCCACTGAGTTTTAGCCACATACAAGGCTATCCTAAAACAGGGTAAGTTAGTTTAGAATCATATTGCATGAGAATGCTTTTTATACGCCCACATGAAATGGGGGGCGTATATTGCCGTCACCCATGTCTGTCCGTCCGTCCACAATTGCTCGTAAACACTCTACAAGACGCACTTCTTGACAGATTTTGATGAAACTTGGCATGAGTGTTTATAATCACCCAAGGATAAACCCTATTGAAAATCAGAAAAATCGAAAAATATTTAGTATGAGTTATTGCCCTTGATCTTGAAAACACGTTTAATTTTTAGCTCGTAAACACTCCAGAAGGCACAGTTCTTGACAGATTTTGACAAAATTTGCCCTTGTTCTTGAAAACGCGTTCAAATTTTAGCACATAAACATTCCAGAAGGCACAGTTCTTGACGGATTTTGATGAAACTTGGTAATATTATTCAGTATTGCCTCAAAAAGTTCAAAAGAAGTGTATGTCTGAAAGTTGAATATTTCATACTGGTGATTGTTACTGTACTGCCAAATGTTTTTATTCAAAATCAAAGCTGCCAGTGGGCGTATATTACCTTGCCTGGCAAGCTATCTTTTACAATGCCTGGGGAATTGTTACTTAATGTATATTAGTAATTTAAGCTAAAAGAATTGTACTCTTCTTCTGATGGATTGTTGTTGTTTTGTTTTAGCTATTTAACAATGGATCATACCAGGAAGTTATTACTTGTTTTAGAATCAGACCCAAAAGCATTGAGTTTACCTATAGTTGGAATGTGAGTATAGAAGATAGAAGTCAACTTGAACGTTGATTTCCTCCCTATTATGTCTTAGATATTTGTACTAATCCCAATTTCCTCTCCACATGGTTTCACATTTGCCATCGAGCATCAACTTTTTTTTCTGGAGATAAAGAAGTATGGAATTGTAATGGAAATCAGAATAAGTTTTAAGTGCCTGATGCACAGGTTTGAAAATCTTCTAGAATCCCTTAAAGGCTAATCTTCTGATAGAAACTTATTATCATATTAATAATAACTGATTTCAGTTGGATTTCTGGAGCTCCTGTGATACACCATCCATTTGTTTGGGCAGCATGTTTACGATATCTTCATAATGAACATATCCAAGACAGGTAAGCCTCTTTCAAAACTTCTACAATTTGTCTGTTATGCCTTTTTTTTACTTTTGGTTGCAAATTGTTCCTGATTACTTCTTAACCAATATAAGATTCAACATGGCTGTTTACTATCATCCTTTCAAAGTCCACATTATAATACTGTTATGTTCATCTTTGTAAAAAGGTAATATGTAGGATATAAGATTGGTTTTTAATGGAAAATGACTACTGCTACCACAATTATCCCCTTTTGACCACAAATGGTAATTGTTATATTAATGTTTATGATTTGAAATATTTCAGAGTTTGTTGTTCACCTGATAATTTTCTAGTTGTACTATATAGTCCTCTACATTCTAAACCGGAATTCTATGAATGTGGTTGTAGAACGGGCAATAGTGAATTAGATTTTGATTTACATACAGGATATGAGGCATCTAATATTACCAAGGTTAGTTTTCATGTCGGTTTCTTCATTGACTTAATGAGTAGCTGACTTTGAAAAAGTGTCCAATATAGGATTTGACAATACGTCTTGTGCTTTATTTGTTACATTAAAGGGACAGGTTTGCCATCCGTTTGACCCATCGTACCTTAGTCTTAGATCCATGTGTGTCCAGCTTTTGAAAGTGAAAATAACAACTCCGTAAAATTTATAGAAAAGACATATATGTACAATAAAGTGAATTTCCTAGTTTGATTATTTTTGAAGGAATTATGTGATTGCTGTACCTTTCTATTAATTTTGAAGACCCAAATCAGCCCCCGAAAATAGTGGATCTGTCCTTTTAGAACATTTAATTCAAATGAGCAAATATTAGGGCTGGATGATATACTGGTATCACGATATATACCGGTATTGGAATTGATATCATTGGTAATATCGCCTGATTAATAAATGTCAAATGCCTTATAGTGATAAATGGTATTTATCAAATATTCTCTCAGAAACAGGACATGAACTGAACAACAGAAGTATATATCTAAGAAGCAAACTTAAAAATCTTTTTTATATCATTTATTTAAGAATTCAAGAAATAGTGGTATCATACCTATAGAATTAAATAATGTTAAAGTAGGACCAAAAAGAGAAGTTTTTGATGCTGCTTTGAATGTGTTTAATAGAAATAGGTAGGTACTTGACACGTTATTAGTATATATACTGATGGCTCTAGATTTGCTTTAGTTTGCATTTTTATACGCCCACATTTCTTGTATGCACGATAGAGGCTACAGTTTTTATCTGATCTTGATGAAACTTGGTATGCATATATATATTGATGAGATCTCGGTCAAGTTCGAAATTGGAATTAATCTGATAAACGGTTTCAGAGTTATTGCCCTTGGCTTGTATGCATGATAAAGACTGCAATTTTTATCTGATCTTGAAACTTGGTATGCATGTATATATTTATAAGGTCTCGGTCAAGTTTGAATTTGGTCATAATCGGATGAATGGTTTTAGAGTTATTGCCCTTGACTTAGTAAAAATGCTTCAAATTTTGCTTGTAGCCATGATACAGAGTGCAGTTTTTATCTGATCTCAATGAAACTTGGTATGCATGTATATATTGATGAGATCTCAAGATCAAAAATGGTAAAAATTGGATGAATGGTTTTGGAGTTATGGCCTTTGAATTTGGCTTGTAGGCCTGATAGAGACTACATTTTTTATTTGTTTTTGATGAAACTTGGCATGAGATCTCAGTACAGCTTGAAATATATTAAACCACTACAGACTTTATCATTTCTGACAGCTGGTAGTGGGCGTATGTTACCTTGCCTGGCAAGCTATCTTGTGTCCAATTAGAAGATAGAAAGCCCTGTATGGTGCCTCCTAAGTTGACTATTTTTAAACCACTATCTTCATTGGTAATTCCTTCAGTACTCACTTGCAGCTTATAAGCCAGTACCCTTATCCCCATTGTTGTGCCCATCACCATTTTGTTTTGTTTTCTTCATCCCATCTGTTGCTTACTGGAATATTAGCAATAGTCTAGATGAACATCCAGTTGTATGATATGAACATTAAATTTATTTTAAGAAATAGTAATAAAGATAGTAATATTGATAGTAAGTCAAATGGACCTGATGATACGGTACCAAGACTAACACCAGCTCCACTAGTTTCTATGGTTGGTACTTTTATTTTCTTGTCACAAATCTACTGCTGTTACTTTGTTGATTTATTACAGTTGAAGTTGCAGTTAATCCATTCAAGTTTTGTCATCATTAGAAAGTAAATTATGAATAGACAGGATACATTGGCTTATCAATTATATCCCTTTGACCACAAAAAATGCTGCGAAACAATGATTATTTATGTTGATTTTGTAGGCTCCAATGATCCAGAATTTAGTTCCAGATGTATCATTTGTTCTGAATGAACCGTCAAGATGCCGTCCACCAACAACTATGGGAAATACTCAACATGCACCTTATACTAGATCTAACTCTGGCTCCAATTTACAATCTTCTCTACCTCAAATACCATCTCATAATAATATCAGCCTGCCTTCTAACAGGAGTAACAGCTCACCCAATATATTTGAAGGTAGCTTAGTCAGAAATAGCCGACCAATTGTGCCAAAGGGTAGCAGAAATCCAGAAACCCAAAATTGCCGAATTGTTAGAAATGGACAACAATATCAGCCTAATGTTTCAAATGTTCAGTATCATGGAAGTTCACAACCATGCAGACCAAGCAATTTTCAAACTAAACAACAAATTCCTGAAACTTGCCAGTCATTACCCTGTAATCCAGCTGCCTATGCTCAACAATATGTGAATAATTCTGTGCCTAGAGGACAAGTGCCTTCTCAAACTTCTTTGCCAAACTCTCCTTTTAATCACAATAGTGCTTATCAACAAACAATGCCAACAAATTATTATGAAAACAGTGTGCCTTCAGTTCAAACTCAAAACCAAATGAATTATCAACAAATTCCTTTCAAGAACTATGGTCATCACCATATGAATCCTACTCTGGAATATAAACCATTTGACCCACAAAGTCAAAATAGTGCTGCTAATCCTTCAGCTTACCCTACCTTCCAGACTATTTCTCGTATGACTCCTCAGAATGTGCCTCAACAGAACTTTCATAGTGTTCCTCAGGTTTCCTATCCTCAACACATCCCTTTAAAATCTCATGAACAAAATTATGTGCCACAAGTGTTAGAAAACTCTCATTCTCAAAATGCACCGCCAGGAGACAGTACATGTAGTGGAAAATCCAGTGATGACAGTGGACTAAGTGTAACACCAGATCGATCTAACCCATCTCCTAAAACAGGCAGTCCTGAAAACAAAACTCAGAAGTATTCCAAAGAATTGACATTGGATTCATTAAATAAGGAGCAGTGTTCACCAGAAGTCTATAATTTGTTGATGCAGCAAGATGCTCAGTTAAAACAACTTCAATCCCAAATTACCTTATTGCTCCAAAACCAGCAGATGACACTAACACCTAAATCGAAAACAACAACAGATTGTGAACATTCACACAATAATTTAGAAACTCGTTCCGATACTTGTTCTGTTGCCATCAATACAACATTATTTTACCCTGATCCTCCAGATAATGTGCCACAAAATAGATTTTTAAATATAAAAAAGGCCAAAGAAATCGTTCCAGAGAATATTCCGATACCTTCAAGTGATTCATCAGAAACAAGCAGTACTGGACAAACACCTGTAGAGATACGTCATAAGGGAGTGTTGCCATTAAACATTACCCATAGAGAAGATGTAGAGTCTATAGGAGATGATCTATGTACAGTGATTAATAATCTAGGTATACAAGATCAGACTACATCCAGTAGTCAATCTGAAAGTATTATTGAATGTCCAAGTTTTCAGTCTTCTTCTCCAAGGTATGTGCTGTGTTACTATACAATTACTTATATAATGTCCAAGCTTGTCTAATGCATTGTATTGCTGACCAATATTGTGAAAGATCTATTTGCCTATAGCGGAGAAATTGACAATTTGGCACTAAAACAGTTGAGTAACCTAATTTCGTGGAAACCTATTATTCGTGGATTTCCGGAAAGGATTAATAATTTACATGAGCGACCTTGCGCGACCTCCGCATTAGTTCAACAAAATCTCAGAATCGATGATTTGATTTCAAACCGATGATTTTCGACCCGAGATCCCCCTTATGGAACTTGGGGGCTGTGTTGTTCTGTTCTTCAACTTGTGGTACAAATAGTTGCCCAAATCTTGGACACATATAACACTCTGTCTGCATTGTGTTAAAGTTATTAAATTATAGAATGATATATTTCAGATCTAACTATGATAGTAAAAGTAGCACTGTAAGCCCACCAAGTGCCAGTATGTGCATAACTCAGGTAACAGTTTTATTCTATTATTCAAGTTGAAATTCAAGCCTTCTGTCTTGCATTCAAGCCTATCCTAGATTTGTGAAGGAAGCATACTATCAAAAACATAATAATCAAGACAATTATGAACATACATTTACTTAGTAGATTTTCTTCATAACCAATTTACATATAATCGACGAAAATGAGACTACTGACCTACAATATTTGTTATCAGTTTCCATTTATCTTGACAGGATTCTGATAATAGTGGAGATTATTCTGGAACAGAAGGAAATTCTGAAAATCCTTTATATTATGAAAATCTAATAGTAAGTATTTATATAATGCATTTTTATACCCCACTGAAATGGGGGGCGTATATTGCTGTCACCCATGTCCGTCCGTCAGTCCGGCCGTCCGTCCGTCCACAATTGCCGTCCACAATTGTCGTAAAAACTCTACAAGACACACTCTACAAGACACAATTCTTGATGGATTTTAACGAAATTTGGCATGAGTGTTCGTAATCACCCAAGGATGAACACTATAAAAAATCAGAAAAATTGAAAAATATTAAGTATGAGTTATTTCCCTTGTTCTTGAAAACGCGTTCAATTTTTAGTCTGTAAACAGTCTAGATGGCCCAGAGTTTGATAATATTATTCAGTATCACCTCAAAAAGTCCAAAAGAAGTGTATGACTGAAGGTTGAATATTTCATTCTGCTAATTGTTACTGTACTGCCATATATTTTTATTTAAAATCAAAGCTGCCAGTGGGCGAATATTATCTTGCCTGGCAAGCTATCTTAATTCTTCACATCATTTTTATGCCAGTATATTAGGAATCGTTGTTTAATACTATTCCCTGCGTATATGGACATTCTAGATGCTGTTCTCTTTTTAGCAGTTTGCTTTTTATACGAACACATGAAATTGGTTCAATGAAATAGAAGACATGCAATCTTAGCCTAGGATATTGAACGATCATCATTTTATGAAACCATATTGGATTCCTTCCATGAGAAAAATGTTGGAATGTTACTTAGCAACTACCAAGGAAAGTGACATCAATGAACTTCAACTGACATTTCATGTGTGTCTTTCCCTGAGGCAGAGGAAGATTAACTATAGGCAAACTAGGCAACTGCATTGCGTCCCATGGAAAATTCGGTCCATGACAAATATTGTAACAGTAAAGATAGTGGACCACAGCCATATACGCCCAATGCGGCACGCGGATGGTAAATACTCAAGATTTTGGGGCAAGGGCAATAACTCTGCTTCTTACGGTCGAAAATAGCTCAAATTCGAACTTGATCTTTGTTATATGAATATGTCTACACATACCGAATTTCATTTAATTCCATCAAAAAATCTAGTTTTTATAGCGTTTACAAGCAAATGTTGTTTTTCAAACACTGTAGTTTTTAGAGTGATTACGAGCAATTGATGTTGATAGAGGCACTTACTGTATAGAGGTTAAAGGGCGCTAACTCCTCAAAACTGTCGTAAGAGGATTAAATCTTGAAAAAGCCTTAAATTTAATCAGAAGTGAACTAAACTTTCTCAAACCAAAACTTTCGATTTAGGTCCAATAACATCCATTTTAAGTTTCATCAAAATCAGTTGAAAACTAAGAGAGTAATAGCATATTCAAGATTTTGGGGCAAGGGCAATAACTTGGCTTCTAATGGTTGAAAATAGCTCAAATTCGAACTTGATCTTTGTTTTATGAATATATCAACACATACCGAATTTCATTTGATTCCATCTCAAAAAACATAGTGAGATGTGGGCGTATAAAAATTATCAAACAGTTAATAAATTTCCGCAGACTCATCGAAAATTTGGCCCAGCTTATAAGAAATTTCTTCTTCACATAAAACATACTATACTTCCTTATAAAGGTCTTGCAACTTAGCACCTGCAGGGGATGAACAGTTCTCATATTTAAATTTGACTACTCTTAAATCCATTTCTTTGCCATCCTTTAATGTTTCTTTGACCTTTATAATTTTTATACGCCTATATGAAATGGGGAGGCGTATATTGCTGTCACCCATATTGTCCGTCTGTCCATAAATGCTCGTAAACACTCTACAAGACATAATTCTTGACAAATTTTGATCAAACTTGGTATGGGTGTTTGTAATCACTCAAGGATGAACCTAATTGAAAATCAGAAAAATATTAAGTTTCAATATTCAGCTCATAAACATTTTAGAAGGCACAATTCTTGACAAATTTTGTGGAGACCTGGTGTGAGTGTTTGTGAAGGCACAACTTGCGACAAAACTTGGTGAAATCGTTTATTATCAACCATAGATGAACCCTATTGAAAATGAAAAAATTGACCTTAATCTTGAAACACTAGCCAGATTTGGACAAAATATGGTGTTATTAGTTAGTATCACCTCAAAAGTTCATTCTGTTACTGTACTGCCAAAGTTTTTTGTTAATATCAAAGCTGCCAGTAGGCTTAAATTACCTTGCCTGGCAAGATATCTTTTGCCCATAGTTCCTGGATCTCATTATAGTCGAAGAAATTTGCATGACTTTTTGTTTGCTCAGAAATTTCAAGGTATGGACCATGGATTGGAAGGGCTAAAGCACCCTGCCTCCTAGATCGGTAATTATTTAAACCTAAATGTAGAGTGACATGGAAGGCCTGGTATTAGAATCAGTTGAGTATAGACATGACAGTCCCATTTTTATTTTACCTTGCCTATTGAAAATTTCCCATTCACATTTATTGGGTATCATTTTATCTTTTAGGCCAATATTCGTCAGTTTTTAGACAGTCATGATGAAAGTGGTGAGAGAACTGATGAACAGGAAACACTAAATAATCATACCTCAACCTCTTCAGATCAGTTATCATTACATAAATCACAACAGTTGCACTCACTCCTAAAGTAAGTTCTTTTGGCTACATCTAGGTCCTATGCAACTGAAACTAACCAATCCTCTTGCCAGATCTTTCTGAATTACCCTAGTGTGAACTCACATGCATCAGTTCAAATCAAAATCAATCAAAATTGTTTCAAGGTGATGGCCTGTAGCAAAAGCACACCATTAAAGACTGAATACTGCATGTATTTGCACTTGGTGTGTATCCAGGCTGATACCTTTACAGTATTTGTTATAGTCTTTGCATAATCTGGCATTGTGATCTGACTGGAAATCAAAATAGTGCTATAATAATGATATAAGTGGCCCTTGATATGTACATTCAAAGTTTAGAAATCTTTCTCATGTATCTTACTTCGTTCGAGAGCTTATAAATATTTAATATTTTTTTCTTAATTTTAGATCTGCTCAAAGTGGTAATTGCGTTGATACAACATTAATACCAAAAATAAGTTATATGTCCATGATGTTTGATTCAGATTCAGACACCTCAGTTGAAATCAATGCAATGGCCATGAAATATTTGAAAGATGAACAATTGACGCAAATGATGAAATTACAAAACCGTGTCTCAGGAAAACCCAGTAAAACTGGACAGAAAAAGACTTTATTGAGACAGTTGTTAAATTCGGATCATACTGATTCTCCAGATTTATCTCAGAATGGCCTGAACGATATGACGTTTGCTACTAGAAAGTATATGGAGAAACATGGATTATTAAATAGTGATATTGACAGTATTGACAAAACATTAGATTTCAATTATCAGTTAAAAACAGATTATAGTTTATCATCTACAGAAATGGCATCACCTGTTGCCCAAACAAGGAAATCTGCCAGCAGTAGAAATAACAATACAGCTGATGCTTATGCTAAGTTGCGTCTGCTCAAAAGTCCTGTTAAAAAGGAAATTGTTAAAAAAGATGATATAAACAGTCAAGAATATACTCCTAAAGCTTATCAAAGATTTGATTATGGTGGTGTTCAAACTTCTTCTAATGAACAATGTTTACAGTATTCTCCTGATAACTATCCTGTGTTTGGGAGAACTCAAACTCGTGAGAATTATGGAGAACATAGATCTGTAGAGTACAGTAGTGTTAGTGAAGAAAATGATAATATTTTAGACATAGTAAAACTAAAACAACTACCTAAATTATTATAGTGATACCTTTCTCTAGTCTTTATCTTAGTATTTATTTTTCATTAGTTTTCTTCGGGTAGAAATTAAAACCACAGAACATGTATGGTCTTTCACAGCAGAATTATATGCCACAACAATCACCTTCATTGTGGGTCTATACTAATAGAGATGTGTTCTATAAATATTCTGTGGGTAGTTAATTGCATATCTTTTTGCCATCAATTGATGTTACCATACTAAATATTTCAATGTATTTATATCTACTTAATTGTAATGTTCAAATTTACTGAATATTTGTAGTTATTTTTATTAAATTATTTATTTACATTTGTGAAGTGTGAAATTTTCATGTTGACAAGCTGTGATAAAGGCATTAAACAAAGTGATAAGGTTATTAGCTAACATGGAGGTTCCAGATGTAAGATGAGGTAAAGAGTTTGTTGTTACACTCTAAATAGGAACTGTGTACATCAGAGACTGACTTAACACTCATTTTTAAACGCCCACATGAAATGGGGGGCATATATTGCCATCACTCTTGTCGTAAACACTACAAGACACAATTTTTGACTGATTTTGATGAAACTTGGTATGAGTGTTCGTAATCACCCAAGGATGAACCCTATTGAAAACCAGAAGAATCGAAAAATATTTAGTATGAGTTATTGCCCTTGTTCTTGAAACGGGTTCAATTTTTAGCTTGTAAACATTCTAGAAGGTTCAATTCTTGACAGATACTGTAGAAAACGCTTTCAAATTTTATCTCTTAAACACTAAAAGGCACGATTCTTGGCGGATTTTGACAAAACTTGGTTTTATTATTCAGTACCGTGCTGAAGCCTTCTAGAGTTTTCACAGGCTAAAAATTGAACATGTTTTCAAGATCAAGGGCAATAACTCATACTCAATAATATTCAGTATCGCCCTAAAGAGTTCAAAAGAAGAGTATGACTGAAGGTTGAATATTTCATACTGGTGATTGTTACTGTACTGCTAAATATGTTTATTCAAAATCAAAGCTGCAAGTGGGCGTATATTACCTTGTCTGGCAAGCTATCTTTGAGTATAATGGTAAGTGAAACTTCAACAAGCTGTTGCCAAGCAATATACACCAAATCAAAAAATTTTGAGTAAAACAAGATTTGTTGTCAATATGTGTGTAATCAAACCAAAAATTTAACTTGTGTTTACAAACGACTTTTAACGTAATATCAGTGTATCCAGTGTTGACACACTGTTATTTGTCAAATGTACCCCAATTCAAACTTGATTAAGATCCTGTGGATACAAACAAACACACCAAATTTGTGTGAAAATTGATCGCATATCTAAGAACAGGGGCAATATCAAATATTTTTCGATGCGGTTCTTACAAACACAGAGTTTCCTCAAAATCCTCCATGAGCGTTTACAAGCAATTGTTAATTCATGGCCTACACCAATGTATACGCTCCAAATTTCATGAGGGCATAGAAATCAAATTTCTGCAAGATCTAGAAGTTGTGAGAATAAAAGTACATAATTTGTGATAAATTGCTGACCAAACCAATATTTCAACACCATGTAAGCAATTTATAAGAAAAGATTTGTTGGGGGAAGAAACAAAGGCGAGAAAATCCGGATATAAATATTTATAGCCATTGAAATATGGTTTTAAGTTTGATGGATGTAATAATGAATTATATATTAGAAATAATAATAAATTTGTATAAACATTTCCCATTCACATAACACATTCCATATATTAATAACACTTCAAGGTACTGAATAATGAACTTGATATTTCAATCATTTACATCAACATAGGGCAAGACATGTAAAGGGTCATCATCTACAGATGATAATGTTAGAGTACTTGCCCAATCATGCCAAACCTTGTCTTTATCTAAGGAGCCATTTATTCCTTCCCATTGATCGTTTATTATACGATTAACATCCAAATCGTTTGAAGGAGTGGGTTCAGGTACAATATAATCAGTACACTCCCAATTTATACTATCAAAGTCTATGGGCGGAAGTTGGCTGTAGATTTCCTCTATTGTTAGTCTTTTCTCTACCTTATTTTCAGTTGATTCCGATATTTCTGTTGAATGTTTTACATTAGATATTTCTGAATGATTGTATGCACATAAAGGTTTGCTTTCTGCAATTTTTTGTTGATCTATAGATACACTAGGGACAGACTTGATGGTTATTTTCAAATCTGATGTTGATGCTTGGACAGAGTTTTGAGATGAATTTATGGGAGATTCAGATTTAAGAGAGTAATCCTCAAGAGGAGGACTCAAATCTGTTAATGTGGGTGAAACAGATGTTTGTAAAAATTTCTCCACAAGTTCAGTTTTAGTCTGACTTAATGAAGGTGATGGCACACTAAGAATGGATGAATCATTACTAATACGTTTTTTACGTGGCTTTATGCCCGGTGGTAACACAGATGTTTGAACATCAGACTCATGATCAATTTGATTTGTTCTTAACTTTTCTAAAATATTGTTGCCATAACTTGTACTGCCAGTCTTTTGCTGATAGTCCGCTATCAGTTCTGCAGTAGTTTTCACTTTTGGTGTTTTCACAGCAGGTTTAGTGGAGTCCTGCCGCATCAATGATTTTTTACTACCCGGAGTTGAATATTCTGTTGAAGTACTTTGCGTTTTTGGATCCGAATTAGCACTATTATTCACAACAGCATTATGACAGGTTTTATCACTATAAACAATTCCATTCAATGGTTGTTTTGATGAAAGACTATGAATTGATGTATTAAGTTTTTGTTGCTTCACTGGTGTAGTTGACAATTTGTCCAAACGCACCCTTTTTCTATTGGCAATGTCTGTTTTGGGGACATCACATTGTTCTGACCTTGAGCAGCCATCATTTGGAGATATTGCAGATTCAGCGGAATGATTTGATTTTTTCCCAGACTTTGGTTTTCTTCCTCTCTTCTTGCGTTTGGTATGACCATTTCCTGTTTGTAAGTTATCAACAGAAGTTGGTGTGCAAGGTAAACTGGAGAGAGAGTCCTCATTCCCAATAGTTACTGCAGACTGACTGGAACATGTCAAGCTAGGTGACTGACATGGAGTGGATGGTCTTGATTTGGGCGAGGATTTGACACTTTTTCCACTAGATTCTGCCTTAGCTTGAGGAGGGAATGTTTGAGAGACAGCAGGACTTAAATTGGAAGTTTGTACATTCAAAGTTTGTTTGGGACTATTGACGACTGGTTTTAAGGCTGATGGTAAAGTTTTAGATAAACCAGGACTATGTTTTGATTTATTAAGATCGCCAGCTTTCCCGAGTTTATTTGGTTGCAGTGTTCTTTGTTGAGAGGGGGTTACAGGTCTGTTACCAATAGCAGGTGAAAGACTAGAGCGTACCACACAGTTCCTATTTATTGCTGGTGAAGAAATTGCTGGACTGGAAGGTTTTGATCCATTGCCAGCATTTTGTAATGCACTAATGTTCCGATGTTGTGGTGGTGTGCTTATACTGTCCCCATTGATATGTGGTCCTTCTGGAACAGTAACTAACTTCTGCCATCCTCTTACTAACTTCTTGGCCCTCTTGGCCAATTCCTCATTAGAGGTCTTCTTTCTAAGTTCATTCACATATCGACCAATCCGTGTTATCTGAAAGTAAATAAAATAAGGAGATAAAATCAAAAACAAACATATTTTTATGTGTGTACTATCAGCTCACAAAAATATTTTTACAGATTTTGCTAATGAAGATGGGCAAAGCTATAGATGCATTCACAATAAGTGAAATTTTGTCTGTTTTTTAGATTTCTAACGTCATGGGATTTTTAACCTATGCCAATTCAGCAAGTATCTGAACTCAATGAATCACTGTGGTTCCCTAAAAAGAAAGAAGAATGAAGGCCTATTGCATCATCATCATACCTCTTTGTAAACCAAGCTTCAATTAGAATCAAACACATATCCAATGTAATGCTACAATAGTTTAATACCAATAAAAAAGGACTTCAAGCTATTGCTTTTATACAAAGTCCTTAAATTCAGACATCTAAAGAATATGTTATATCAAATCTCAAGCAAACAAATGCATAAACCATAAAAAAGTGCCTGAAAATTGACCAACCTTAATGAATTTGTAAATCAGAAAACTTGCAATATCATGTCGACATGACCAAATTATCCCTAAATCTCCATATACCAAGTTTTAACACTTTCACCACTACTTCTGCTCGTGCAGTTGGAACTTAACATACGGCAATAAATATAATAATCAATAATACTTACTTCAAGAGCTTCCCTTGTGATAGGAAATTTCTCTAGGATGGTTATCACTTCCAACACCACAGAAGTATTAACAATCTGAAAAAAAAAAACAGACTGCTGGTATATAACAATTCATATAAGCTTTATAGAATTTAAGACATTACTATCCAACCATATTAGTAGCATTACATTTAAAGGGACAGGAAGGCCATTCTTTTCAACCAATCATACTTTAGTCTCAGAAACAGGATTTTTTAGCTCAGCCAAACATTTATAGTGTTCACAGCTTACAGTCTAAATTTGAGCTTTCAAATCCATGTGTGTCTAGAATCATCTGCCTTTGAATGTTAACATAACGACTTGTCATTTTCAGATACTCTGTGAAATGGTGAGTAAATTTTCTAGTATGAAGTATTTTTTAAGGAATTATGCTATTTACATATATCCAAGACTAAAATCAATCTCCCAAAATGCAGGATCTGTCCCTTTAAAGCAAACTAAGGCCTAGCAATTTAAAACAATCTGAAACAAATCCATCTGCAACAAAATAATATTATTTGTGAGTAACATTTGGAATGTTCAAACTACATTGAGCTCAGAACAGAACTATTTCCTTTGTTTCAAAAATAACCCTTGAATTTCAGTTCCATGAATCCATGCCATGTGTCACAGAATGTCTTTGGTGAATAGAAATGCATGGTGTGGTAATTTTACTAATGTAACCAGAACCAGGGTTCCCTCCTGAAAATATTGTAAAATGACCCACGCTAATGACTAAAAATTCATCTGTAAAATAACATTTCCAGATAACGTTAATTTGTTGATATTTTCATAAATCAAATGAGATTCAGCACTATTCTGGAGTTAAATGGCAACATGTGATCTTAAAGCATTGAAATCGGACAATAGTAGGAGTATTTTCCAGAAATCTTCAAGTCATTAACCTTTATGTTATATCATTTTAATCTACAACTAAAAATCAAGAGACTAAGCCTACTCATGTAAATAAAAAAAGAGACATCTTTACGGCAGAAACTTGTGCTGGCACGATATATCAGTGAATCGATGTATTGCAATACGACATGCCACGAAACGCATATCATATCGCAATGTTGTATATCGATACTTGGCGATACCTTTTATTCCATAAAAGAGTGGACGATAACCACTTCTATCAACCATATCACCAAATATCACAGTTATAAAGTTATGAATTAATATATATATATTCAAAGTTAATATTTTTATCCCATATCATGACATGTATCGTATCGTGATATGTATCGTATTGTGGCATAATTAACGATACCCCGCACTAGCAGAAACATTTCCAAATTCTTTGATTTGATTTAATCCGGACTACTGAATGCATTCAAAAATAGAACAAGAAAACTGTTCCCAGTGACAATAATATATCTAGTTATAGCTCAATCTACTGTCATTTGCCTGTATATAGACGTTAAAAGCGATTTTTTTTTTTGTAAATTGGAATAACCATCTTAAAACCTTACTCATGTAGCTCTACGCTCTAGTATTTTTTATATCAATGATGACATTCCCACCATCATCAGTGAGCTTACATACAAAAAAGTAAAATCTTTGCTCTAGTCTATTGGGAAATACAATTGGGATAATGAAGAAAATGATTCATAATCATGCTTGTGGCAAGTTGCAGCATGCTATTAATCAGTATCAATTCTAGGTTCAAGTTGAGAATAACATTAATTAGGCAAAGCCAAATGCCTACATCCACACACATACTTATGTAAATGATTCAGTATTGGGTCTTGTCTTATAGACCAATTTATGTCAATCTATTCAGTGGAAGTAATGCAAGAACATGTCTTTTGTTTGTTTGTTTTTTTTTTTTTTTTGGTTTGTTCCTACCGGTAGCCTAGATCTGGGCCTAAATTCTTAAAGGTTGGCTAAATCATAGACCTAATGCAAATTGGTCTAAATCAAAATAAAGCAAAGCCTAGATCTACATAAAAAGAAAGTAAGTAGATCTCAAATAAATCTATTTACATTTACATCGCGTAATGAAGCCGTACATTTTCCTCTCTATTGGCTCTATCGGCATGCATCGAGTTGTACATATCGCCGAGAGAAACAGAGACATCATTCCCATTTTCAGTGTGTTGGGCAATCTCGCTCAGGTACGAACTCTAAAATCGACAAAAAATGAAAATTTTGTTGATTTCTTACATTATTTTCCTCATCTAATGCCCCCAGAAGTTTCTCTTTTAACTGAAGAGGTGTGAACTGCATGGGGGCGGCCAAACTCTCCTATGTATAGGGGGTTGAGGCAGCGGAGGTTCCGAAGCTCTGCCACCAGAATGGCGGCCGTCCATACATTGTACGATATACTTCGACGCACTGACATCTGGGAAGCCTCTCCAGCGACATGACGTCAAATGGCGAATCGGCTACAGCTTTGCTCGTGCTCCTGTTGAGCTCGCGCGAGAATATGTTAATTGGGTGAAATATATGTTACGATCAGTTTCATTGGCTAATCTGTCATGGTCGTTTCATTCAACCCATTTCATTGGATTAAAATATGTTTTCGAAAGGTCAAGTAGTCGAGGGCGATGACTTATTTCAATGATTACAAAACTACTTTTCACTAATGCGCATGTGTCATAGTTGTTTTCCCAATGAGCACATGCGCATACGTACAAATTGGTCCCTTAAATTATTTCAGGCAATATAAGGTTTTCTGCCCTTTCTGGAATCGCACAGATGATAATTGATATATAAAAATTTAGAATTAAAGTAACGATCAATCAAACATTTTTTAAACGACACTTTAAGTAGATGTTTTTAAGAAACTGAAAAACATTGATTTGTGTTTTTGGTTTGACTAAAAGCCCAGATTCACTTAAAATAGGAATAATGTTACGTGGAGGCGTCAAAAAGGGGTCGCATAGTGTGTAATAACCGAAGTTGTAATTTAAAGATCTTGTAACATAAATAACATTGCAATATCATTATCACATGAAAGACACAAAAAAATTATCGAAAGTAGAAAGAAGGCAACAACAATAAGGTTTGTCCAAATACTCAGAAGCACTCAAAAGAAATGTAATTTTTAGTAGTCTTGCACGTTCAGCTGCACTGGTGGTGGCAACATATTAAACCTATGTGTATTTGGCAAGATTGTTTCAGACTTGAACCATTAAATTTTTATAAACTACACTAGGCTGTCATTAGTATAGTCATAATAAAAATAATATAATTAAACATTGTCTAAAAAATCAAAGGAAACTTACATAGTACTTACAAAGAACAACAATGAAGTAATATATTTGTGCTCAATTATAATATTATCTATTTGTTTTGCAGGAGATAGAACAACCTCAACAACACAAAATCAAGATGAACCCGTTATTATTTAAACATCAAGTTGGTCAGCTCCTTTTCAAGCTAAAGCCAAGCTTAAACATGAATGTGTTAAGTGGATCAAATTTCTCGTCAGGAAATTGTTTTCCTAGATTTTCTACTCTGTCAGTTTTGGATAAATTCTCTTGTAGAAATAGTCTGTCAACAAGTAAACTATATAAAACAAGGCATCCTGTTTATACTGTGACACAGAAACATTATATAACAGAAGATAATGAAACAAAAGCCTTAACTATTTTGAAAGACATGAAACATTTGAGACATTCTCCAAAACCAGCCTTACTTCTTGGGTCTTCTGGATTAATTCCCTTTATAAGTGCGCCATGTTATTTGATCATGTCCCAAACATACTTGCATCACATTGCGTTTGCTCAGTTGATGTATGGGGCTACAATATTATCTTTTTTAGGCGGTGTCAGATGGGGATATGTTATAACCAAAGATGAATTGTTAAACTGGTTCAATTTGGGCTACAGTGTAACCCCACCGTTGATTGCTTGGATTGGACTATTATTTCCTTTTCCTATAGGAATGATAACAATGATATCAGGATTAGCTTTATCAGCATATTTTGACACTATGCTAAGAGGATACCCTCCATGGTTCAAGGCCCTAAGATTTACCCTGAGTTTTTTTGCTGTGCTTTCTCTGTGGACAACTTTTGTTTGTCGATATCTGTTAGATCACCCACAAGAAAACCGGGACGAGTTAACTAACCAATGAAATAAGTTTATCTATTCATTTTCTGTTTATTTCTGAATAATTAATAAAATTGTTTGCGATACCTTGAGAGGCCTTGGTGTTTTTTTCTTTATACAGAATTTAAAGATGGGTTCCCTTATTTACATTTATGAAAATGCTAATACTGATATGAATAGAAAGTAGAGGTGTTCTAATGACTTGGAAAATACCAGTTTGTCTTGTCCATAATTGATTCATAATTAGCTAAATTAGAATAGAATTTCCAGCAGAATTGCAATGAGTGACTGATCAAGAAAGGTCAAAAAAATCTTTTTTTGTTTATCCAGACAGGACATACATGGACATTTATGATTTGTTATATATCTTAAATGCAATAAGAAAATAATGATATGATTAAGAATACATGATAATTCATTAGAAACACCGATTAATCAAATAGCTTGCTTACTTTGACACGAAAAAAAACATTTTAAGGACAAAATCTATTGAAATTTTTTTTTTGTTTTCAAGTGATATGATAATAGGCTAATAGCTTTATCAGTGTCAGAAATTAGGCTTAAAAGCCTTTCTTTCATTTCTTATTGATTTAGTAAATGAATATTGGACAATACCAAATTATATATGATCTTTTGTTTCAATGGCATTAAGAGAATGTTTCTTATCTGAGGATAATCTGAATTAAAGTAAAGTTTTTTATCCTTATTTGTTGCTCCTAATTGGACTAATGAAAGAAATGTTATTCAGCATTAGCCTACTTATTTTCCCAATTTCTATCTGTCTTAGTATCTTTAACATTCAATGTCTGTAAGCACAAAAGAATCTGATATTTACAATATTTCCTTAGTTTAAGAATTAAATATTGTCTGTAGTCTAAGATTTGCGTTTCCGTGAATTATGTTCTCCAATTGTGAAAAATGCATAAGGTCTTTAGTTAGTAAACAATAACTTGAAATGGACAAATTTGTCATTAAAACACCAAGAAACCCAACACCTACAACTGAAAATGGTAGAAAAACTAATTACAAGCAAGCAACAATAGAATCTCTCAAGGTTTGGTCAAATATTATTAGGTTCGGCACGGATTCTCTTCAACTTTCCTCCGATCACAGGCACAGGCACCATTGTACCCTGCGGCTTACAGTGGTTTCCCCCCTTTACAAATTCCTCACATAGTGGTTTCCCCCCTTTACAATTTCCACCCGAGTGGTTTCCTCCCCTATGTATATATGTAAGCTTAGGGTATGTAAAGAAGGAGAATTTGATTTAAATAACATATTTTATTTCATTTTAGATATAGAAATCTGTAGTTATATTTTCCCTAATTCAAATTATTTTTTTCTATATTTTTCTATTTGTATTATTTGAAGGGAGTTGTGGTAATAGAAGATATAGACAGATTAAAGAATAAGTTAAAAATAGAAAATCAGACTAAAGATGTCATGATAGACAGTATTGTTGAATTAGGAAAGAAAAATCCTTCTAAGGAAGTTTTATTGTCTACAAAAATAGGTGAGTGATTGAGTGACATAAAATTTGTTTCACTGAACAAAGCATGTTAATGTTTGCTTTGCCTCATTTAGTTTGGGGTTTATAAGGGTGTCATTATTATTTTGAAAGCTAGTTATCACTAGCTGAATCTAAATGTTTGTATCTGAAATTTAGACATGTCAACAATACTGATTTGAATTTAGGTAAAGTGATCAATAGATTACGTAAACATGAAGATAAAGATATATCACAGACAGCCTGTACAGTTTATAATGATTGGAAACAACATATAGAAAGTAACATATCTCAACCAAGAATTGAAGTTAAATGTGATCCCAAGTCAGAGAAGATGAGAAATTCTGGTCGTAAGTTTCTTGCAGATGCATTGCAATTAGAGGTTAGTTTACTTTACACAAATAATATCATAATTGGGGGTTTTATATACCTCACCAAATGTTATTTTACAATTTTGATTTCACTTGTGCATTTTGACTTCATGGTCACAAAATTTGAACTGGGCTCTGGTAACTAATGCCTTGATGGTGTTCTTCTTGGTTTGGTTATTAGACTTGTAGTTGATGTATTGGTTGTTTTCTATATACAGAGGTTGATACCGTTTCATCCGTCTTCTTTATGCGTATGTCTAGGAAAGGGAGCTGGCTGTTCATTTCAGTTTCAACAGTGAATTGGATTCTTGGGTGGACGGAGTTTAAGTGATGTAATAGTGTTGTAGGATCAGCGTTTGTTGGAAGGATGGTGAAGATATCATCAACTTTGCGTAGCCAACACACTGGTGTGATGGGGGAGTTCGAGAGGCATTGATCTTCAAAGTGGGCCATATACAGTTCTGAGATGAGTGGGGACAGTGGAGAACCCATGGGTAAACCATGTATCTGTTGATAAGTGCCATTGTCCCAATGGTATGATGATTATTCACAGTTGCTTGAACAATCCCATATTCTCGTCATTGAACACTAATAACCTCCCTTTGCAGACCATACGTCATCATTCAATATATCCAATCAGGAATCTGGTTATATTTGGAGTTAAAGGATAGTGATTGGAAATGGCAGCCTCCATTGAATCATTGGAAACCATTGCATATTTGCACATCCTGCTTTTCGATCAGTGATCAATATGAAACTTGACAGAAAGGTTCTTACACATGTCCTTAATATTCCTCAAAATTTCAGAAAATTCCAACACTTCTTTCCATTATGAATTAATTTTTATATGCCCACATTGAGTAAAGGCGTATATTGTTGTCACCCACGTCCGTTCGTCTGTCTGTCCACAATTGCTTGTAAACACTCAAGAAGGCACAATTTTTGATAGATTTCGAAGAAAATTGGTGTCACCCAAGGATGAACCTTATCGATCAGAAATTAGTTGAATTAGTATGAATTATTGCCCTTGTTCTTTAAATTACGTTCAATTTTAGCATGTAAACACTCTAGAAGGTTCAATTATTGACAGATATTGTAGAAACTGCGTTGATCTTAAAAACATGTTCAAGTTTTAGACTGTAAACATTCTAGAAGTCCTAATTCTTGACAGATTTTGATGAAACTTGGTAATATATTCAGTATTGCCTCAAAAAAAAATGTATGTCTGAAGGTTTAATATATCATACTGGTGATTGTTACTGTACTGCCAAATATTTCTATTTAAAATCAAAGCTGCCAGTGGGTGTATATTACCTTGCCTGGCAAGCTATGTTTTTGCTCCCCATGGGCATAGAAATGTTATGCAGTGTACAATTAGTGAAATTTTGTAAGAACAGTAGCATTAGTCAAGTTATTTATTTTCCCAATTTCTAACTGTCTAAGTATCTCTAACTTGTACAGTCCAGACAACACACAAGTACTAAAGTTTTATGCTCTTTTCTTATCAGACCTTTCATTCTGTATTACTGACAGTGAGAGACTGGGTTGAAAAGTCCAATCTCTCTAATACTAATAGTATAATTATATATTTGTTTGAATTATGCAATTTCAGATATCAAATCGTCTGGTAGAAGGAATTGAAAGGGAGTGTTTATATCAATGTAACAGACTATTAAATACAAACTATAAAAGAACAATGAGAGGGATAGTGTTTCTGTTAAAACATCAAGATGATGTCCGGAAACAAGTACTGTCTCAAACTATGTCTATAGAGGACTTAGTTAGAACTAATAAAAAATAACATTGTGCTGTGTTACCATGGTAACAGTATTCTCGGGGAATTGTACAAATGACCGTAAAGAGCTACTTTTTAACTTTTTTTCTATGTCCTGGACATCACAATCAAATAATACAAACATATTTATGATCTAAATGAGTAGAGACCACATATATGTGATAGAAATGAAATGAAGTTAGTGTTATGTCTTATTTGTCTGCACCTGATGGTAAATGAAGAAGGTCAACACCATGCAGTGTGCAATATTTTGCTAAGACAGCAGCATTAGCCTATTCTTATGACTTTCAACTGTCAAGTGATCTTTAACATACCAGAAATATATGAGATATGGAATTTCATTTTACATTTCTAATTAATATTTTCATATATTTTTTTAGATTTTACCACAATTCTCATTTTGTTAATATGGTTCTCTCTTGTTTTAGTAGAAGATATCAGCAGGCTCAGATTGGTAGGATATGCCAAAGTTTCAAACATTCTTTTTCTGACAGATTCATAGAAAAGAACATAATTATTTTACACAGGGTAAAATTATAATTTATTGTTGAACCAATGTTTCATATGTTAATATACAAAATGATAAACCACATGGTATAAAATGCTAATAATAAAACATTGTAAATGATGAATTGTCCAGCAATCCTTTTTATTGTGACATATTATAGTTTTAAATTTAAAATATTAACAAATATATTTTTATGCAATCTGTGAAAATGCACCAACCCTTTTCAACACTGAGAATCAGAAATTTAAATATCAATTTCCCAAATGCAAACTTAAATGACATTAGAATTATGTCACTTCACTTTGTAATGGCAGCTTCACAAGCTGCACAGAAATCTTTCACTATATATGGTTGGTAGAGTGATAATGCCAGTTCAACATAAACAATTAATTTTTAAAATATAAAATATGAGACCAGTGTTCCATACTTAATGGGACACTTTTTAAAATTTGATGGATTAAAGTCCTGGATTATAGTTCTTTCAATAATTGCATTGTTATCTGATAAAATGCAATTATTGCAGATGACTTGAAATATTGGACTACATAAGTGTATTACAACCCATTTAGTTACATAAGTCAGGTATAAAATCAGAAAAGCAGAAGAATTCATAATAAAATCTCTATATAATACATTTAAAAAAAAGGCTGTGGCTATTCATACCGCGGCGGTACAGATATGGCCATCCCTACCTAACCCTAACAAAGTCACTTGACAATCAGAATGGCTTCATGCTTTAAAAAAAAAAAAAAAACTAACGCACCCCTTGTGTTCTTATCCATATCGTTTTTAGTAGCCAAAGAGAATAACAAAAGAGAACACACATCGTGACAGTGCAAATAGTCAGTGCATAAAAAAAAATGTTATATTAAATATAAATATATATATATAAAATAGACTACGATTTTAATTAATTAATTTGAAGGACTGATTCTGAATGTAAGGCCTCAATGGAAATAATATCAAATACATGGCTTTAATCAAACAAGATTGCTGTTTCCCCAAAACATTAGAAAGGGAAAATAGCCCTGTTGAGGTAGCTAGATAAATTGGTGAGATAAAAGATTAATTAATGTTATGTACTAAAGTGTTTCCGAAAGAATGATATTAAAGGGGCGGGAAGACCATTTTTTTTATTTTTAAGCCAAGCTTATCAGTAATAGTGTTAACAGCTCAGCCTTCAAATCCATGTGTGTCCAGAATTATCTGCCTTGAATGTTAAATGACGACAATTTAAGATACTCTGTGATATATAGAAAAGAAGTATATGTAAATAATGAGTAAAATTCCTAGTTTGAAGTATTTTTAAAGGAATTATGTGATTTTCCTACAATTCTAGTACTTCTGAAGACTATTTACATACATTCAAGACTAAAATCAACCCCCAAAATGGCAAAGCTGTCCTTTAACTCACTTGATGTTATTTCAAGTAGTAATAATTATTGTATAAAAGCAGTTCTATAAAATCTAAATGCAAGACTTCTTTTGATAAAATACTTGAGATAGGAAAATTGTGCTAAAAGGCAAAACTGGTCGAGTACAGTGGCTGTAACTGTGGACAGAATCTGAAAAAAAAATAATTTTGTAACTCTCCTTTAATTATTTAATAGGATTAAAAAAAAGGGCCTTAAGACAAAATCTACTGGTTAACTTTTTTTAATTGTCTGTGCCATAAATCCAGAGAATGACTCCTGACCTTAGTACAGGATACTAACCATCAAAAGGCCTAAATAGTCAAATGGATTAAAGAACAAAGGCCTCCATTGTGCAGAACTTTCAAGAAACCTGTAAAGTTGGAAATGTCAATATTTCCCTTTTTATACGCCCACACATTAATTTTCTAAAGGCAATATGTGGAATAGCCCATAAATGGTTACTGTCATTGAAGTCATTGAAGATGATAAAAATGATAATTATTACCTCACTTCCAGTTCTGGCTCTTCAATTTTCAATGATTCACCATCTATGTTGATAAATAATTCTAATTCTTTATCCTGTTGTGTATAATCACTGCGATTTTCTTCATTTTGATCTACTTTAATATGAAATCGACTTAAACCTTGTTTGAATGTGAGCCAGTCAAAATCAACCTGCAAATATTAAAAAAACTAGAACCGTTATAACGGTACCGAAGCAGTGTGCATCCAACCTGATACATCGATAAAACGTTGCATTTTAAAGTCACAATGGGATTTCTTACCGGAAAGAAAAGCATGTAAACGTTCAATAGTAAAAAAAATCGTTTAAACGTTTACCGTTCGGTAGTGAAAAGACGCATGAATTTGATACCATTCGGTACTAAAAGGTGTTAACATTCGGTAGTAAGAAGTCGAATTTTCAAATAGCTATAAAGTTAAAAGTTCAATTCGCACAACAAAAATGAAAATATTTTTGGAAAGGTACAATAATTTGTGTTTCGGCCAAGAGGTCAACAGGTCAAATAAAAGAGAATATAAGCCTTAAAAGTGTTGAAAATTGCTGTTTTGGGACGTTTGTAAAAGCGAAAATATATGTCGGACATCAAAGATAAAAGTATGAATGGACATCGAAGATCAATAACCTTTGACCTTCTAAAGACCAAGATTATGCATGTAAATGGTCAAAATATCAAAATTTTATAAATTGTAAATCCTATTCCCTTTTTTAAAGTAAAAGGTCTAAACAAAATGTAACTCTATCAGATATTGTCCCGAATAGTGCTTTAATTTTTTGTAAAATTTTGATGGTGAAAAATGCAAACTTTTCGAGTTATAACAATTTGAATTATTTATGGTAAAGGTAAAAGTAACCTGGATTTGCCACGCCCACTGCAAAAATTTTGTGCTGTCTGTAATAATGTGTACAATGTCAAATAATGTTCAAAATTTCAAGTGTTTACAATCATTAGATCATGAGATATTCGTAGTTAAACGTTTTTTTAAGGCGACGGTGACTGTCGGTGGATTATAGAAACCGTTAAAATTACGCAAAGTTACTATAGAAGTCAATACAAAATTTTCAAATTCAATTTCAATCAAAATACCAAGTGTTATATATCATTTGAAAGAATAGATTGCGTGTAATAAGGACAAAAGATAAATTTTCGCTTATGTGAATTAGGTCATGTGATAGACCTTTTTTTTAAGTTAAAAATCGTGATTTTCAATTGGCTGTAGAACCGGAAGTTAACGGAGCACAACAAAAGTGAAAATATTATCGGATATACCTCATAATGGGCAACAACCTTTGTTCAGGTCAAAAGGTCAACAAAGGTTAAATAAAAGTAATATGAGCCTTTGAAGTTTCGAAAATTGCTGTTTTCGGACGTCTGTAAAACTGGAAGTATATGTTGCAAATCAAAAATCAAAGTAAGAATGGTCATCTTAGATCAATGACCTTTGACCATGCAAAGGTCAAGGTCATTTACATTAAAGTTCAAAAATTAAATTTTTTAAAATTGTTAAACCTGTTCCCTTTTTTAAAGTAAAGAACGCAAACAACTGTAATCTTATCACAAATTGTCCTAAACTGTGATCTACTTTCATGCAAAATTTCTAGGATGACAATTGCAAACTTTGCGAGTTATAACAATTGCAAATATTTCAGGTAAAGGTAAATACCCACCGGATGTGCCACGCCCACTTCAAAAATTTTAATTTGTCTGTGATGATGTCTACATTGTTAAATAATGTTCAAAATTTCAAGTCTTTACAATTATTAGATCATGAGATATTCGTAGTTAAACTTTTTTTTAGGGCAACGGTGACTGTCGGTGGATTATAAACACCGTGATTTTACGCACAGTTACTATAGAAGTCAGTACAAAATTTTCAATTTTTAAAACGCGCAATTTTGATCAAAATATCAAGTGTGATATATCACCAAAAAGGAGAGATCATGCACTCTAAGAATATATAAGAAATTTTGTTATATGTTAATTAGGTCACGTGACAGAGCTCTTCAAAGTTAAAAATCGCGATTTTCAAATTGCTGTAGAACCGGAAGTTAACAATGCACAACAAAAGTGAAGATATTATCGGATATATCTCGTAAGGGGCAACAACTTTTGTTCAGGTCAAAAGGTCAACAAATGTCAAATAAAAGTAATATGAGCCTTTGAAGTTTCGAAAATTGCTGTTTTGGACGTCTGCAAAACCGGAAGTATATATCGGACATCAAAGATCAAAGTAAGAATGGTCATCCTTAGTCAATGACCTTTGACCATGCAAAGGTCAAGGTCATTCATGTTAAAGATCAAAAATGAAAATTTATAAAATTGTTAAACCTATTCCCTTTTTTAAAGTAAAGAATGCAAACAACTGTAATCTTACCACAAATTGTCCTAAGCAGTGTTCTATTTTCATGCAAAATTTCTAGGATGACAATTGAAAACTATGAGAGTTATAACAATTGCAAATATTTCAGGTAAAGGTAAATACCCACCGGATGTGCCACGCCCACTTCACAAATTTTATTTTGTCTGTGATGATGTGTACATTGTTAAATAATGTTCAAAATTTCAAATCTTTACAATCATAAGATCATGAGATATTCGTAGTTAAATTTTTTTAGGGCAACGGTGACTGTCGGTAAATTATAGATACCGTGATTTTACGCACAGTTACTATAGAAGTCAGTACAAAATTTTCGATTTTTAAAACGCGCAATTTTGATCAAAATATCAAGTGGGATATATCACCAAAAAGTAGATTTTATGCACTCAAAGAATATATAAAAATTTTTGTCGTATGTTAATTAGGTCACGTGACAGAGCTCTTCAAAGTTAAAAATCGTGATTTTCCAATGGCTGTAGAACCGGAAGTTAACGATGCACAACAAAAGTGAGGATATCATCGGATATATCTCGTAAGGGGCAACAACTTTTGTTCAGGTCACAAGGTCACCAAAGGTCAAAGTCACTAGATATGAGCCTTAATATTTTTGACAATTACTGAAAACATAAAACTGGAAATAAAAAAAATACGAATCCAAAATTCAAAAATCAGCTTCCTAAGTTTTGTTAGCAATCGATTGCAGATTCTTTAGACACCAAAATCACACAAATCAGATTTACCCCTGAAGCTTAATATCGATTTTTACAAAAATTGGTCACATCAAGATGGCGTCTAACACGTTACTTCCGGTTCAAATTTTTTCATTCCAAAATTGTTATAGGGACAATTTTAACTAATTTCAAAAAGAATTTTTCAAATAACTACAAAATTCCGGAAGTTGAAATTTCAAGTTTAGAGGCGAATGACGTCAAAACCGGAAGTGATATCGAAATTTTGAAAATAGATTTTTGTCAGGAATCAAAATGCTTTTCTACTATTAAATTTTTAGACCGATTGAAATAAAATTGTAGAAGTTGAAAAAAACGCTAAAATTAAAACAAAAAAAGTCAGCGACAAAAGTCAAAATCTGAAATTTTATAAAGTGCTATCTTTTAGTCATTGGTTAAAAGTAATGAACAAAACAAAAGTTATGGTCAAAATAGATGCAGAATTAGAGCAGTAATTCGAAATACGTAATGAATGGTTAACGTCATACGTCATTTCCGGTTGGAAAAAAATGCGTCATTTTACATTTAAACAGTAGCGACACGCAAAGTATAAGAAATAATAGTGTCAGACAATGTGTGACATGTGCAGTTTTGGCTGGGGAGCGTGACCAGAAGTAGGCAAAAAAAAAAAAAAAAAAAAAAAAAAAAAATAGTCATTTGCAAAACAATGCAGTGCGTTCAAAGAACGCACTGCAATAATCTTGTGTCTTGAGCATGTTACAGATTAAAACTATCTTAAAAATTTATTCTGTCAAGATATCTAATTCATAAAATGGACTAGTTCATCAGTATTTTGTCGTCTTACGTTTTATTCAAATAATTAATACTAGTTACCATAAACAAATACCTAGATGGTCATGTTGATGGCTTGATGTATTACAGAAGGCATTTCATAGGATCTTGCCCTTAAAATCCTAGCCTTTCCAGTAGATAGGCTTTTAGATATCTGTATCACTTGCCAAACTTCAAATGATATACATTATTCGATATTCAGTATTAAATCCCTTTAATCCCATTCTAAAAAATTTCAAATTCTGAAATTCTACATATTAAGAACTCACAAAAGATTTATCCTGTACTGCATATCTTCCCAAATGTTTTAAAAATTGAAATTTAGGAGGCTTTGCTGTAGCCATTAAACTTCCAGTTGGTTGTTGAAGACTGGATATAAATTTTGCTTCTTCACATTTTAAATCTACATCAGAGCAAAATGTGGCAATTGACTGAAAATCCTCCAAATCTAATTTCTTCCATTCTGAAAATCAAAATGGTCAGAAATATCTACTGATATATAAATAACCATATCATGAAATAATGAAGATAGGCAACGTCATACAATGCCTTGGTTTATTGTCTCATCCACACAATGTTTCTCAATGTCAGCCCCTCCAATCTGATTCTTGACTGGAGAAACCAGGTTGAAAAATCCAAAGGTATGATCTCAACCTATGCACTGCCAAAAATAATAATTAGAGTATATAGCAAAATGATTGTAAAACAAAGGGAGAAAAAATAGAGTACAAACTGAAAGATCACTTGCAAGATAACATAATTAAGCCATAGAAATTATGGACACTGAAAGGGTGAGTTAATTTAATTTTAAAAATATCATGCAGATTTCTAGAAAGTGTCTTACTCACCACTCTCAGTATTACCAGACCTAAAATAGAAAATAAAGCAAAACTTTAAAACAATCAAGTGGTGTTTACATTTTTAATACCCCACAAAGTTCAACAAAAAATTTAAGCAAGTCTCACAATAACAAATTTTTCACTTAAAGACTCAAAAAAATAGAAAATAACTTGTTAATTTATTGAAATATACATGCTTTTAAATATTTTCATTTTAGTGTATACCACTGACTTCAGCACAATTGCAGAATGAAAGGATAAACACTCATGTAATTTATTTATCACATGGAATGCCATAACAGAAAAAATCCAACATAAAAAATATCACATAACAGAAGTTGAAATTTTATACCAAGAAACTCATAATATATACCAAAGTCTTTAATCATATACCAAGAAATTCATATCAAATACCAAGAAGTTTAAATTATATACCAAGAAATTCATATCAAGTACTAAGAATTTTAATCATATACCAAAATCATTAAATACATACCAAGACTAAAAGTTAGTTCCCAAGGTTTTTAGGCTAGATAATAGGTTATGACTTGAAATCTGTTCAAAAATAATACGCAAATATACTGTACATCATTGCTCGAATTGAAGCTTAAAAATGGCACAAACAGGGACAATGACACTATAAACCCATATATAATATTTAATGATTGCATATAGAAATGACGGATCAATGTCAATAACTGAAGACTTACTTATTATCAAGAGTTTTATATTTCAATTCAGCTTTAAACAAACGATTTCTGCCAATAAAACTTCCACCTATAGTTACTGAAAAAAAAATTGTTTTGCTTAAAAAATACCAAGATTACTAACATAAACAACAAAAGTCATAATTCCATTTCTGATAATTCTACCGCATTCTATATAAGACATCATATTCAGAAAACGTGCTAAAAGTAGCTATAGTACAATTTTATCATCCAAGAAGAAGTAATTATTATTTTTATTAATAAATAAATAAGAAAATATACCGGGATATCTCATAATCTTCATCCATCTTCTACTTTCTGCCTTCTTGATTAAATCAGAGAAGAAACCATAACCCATCAATAACCCACCATATATTACATGTTTATCTTTTACATTTATATCTATAACACATGCTTTATGATGTTCCCCTAAACAACATAAAATAACAGATTTATTAGGAAGTATCAAAACAAGTGGTTGCCATTTAGTATATTGGGGTACAAGAAGAGTAAGATAGCTTGCCAGGCAAGGTAATATACACCCACTGGCAGCTTTGATTTTGAATACAAATATTTAGCAGTACAGTAACAATCACCAGTATGAAATATTCAACCTTCAGTCATACACTTCTTTTGAACTCTTTAGGCCGATAATGAATAATATCGAGTATGAGTTATTGGCCTTGTTCTTGAAAACGTGTTCAATTTTTAGCTCATGAAAACTTTAGAAGGCAAATATTCAATCTTCAGCGCGGTATTGAATAATAAAACCAAGTTTTGTCAAAATCCAACAACAATCATGCCTTTTAGTGTTTAAGAGCTTAATTTGAAAGCGTTTTCAAGAGCAAGGGCAATAACTCATACTAAATATTTTTTAAATTCTTCTGATTTTAAATAGGGTTCTTCCTTGGGTGATTACGAACACTCATACCAAGTTTTGTCAAAATCCATCAAGAATTGTCTCTTCTAGAATGTTTACGAGCTAAAAATTGAATGCGTTTTCAAGAACAAGGGCAATAACTCATACCTTATATTTTTCGATTCTTCTGATTTTCCATAGGGTTCTTCCTTGGGTGATAACGAACACTCATACCAAGTTTTGTCAATATCCATCAAGAATTGGGTCTTGTAGAGTGTTTACGGGCAATTGTGGACGGACCGACGGACATGGGTGACGGCAATATACACCCCCCATTTCATGTGGGCGTATAAAAATGAAAACACAATCATTGCAAAAACAAAGCATAAGAACTTTTCTCATAACTTTCACTGTACAAGGATTTGTGACAACAAAATGAATTTCCTGTGTCCCTGCTCTCCGGAAATAACATTATGGCATTAATGTCTTTTCAGAAATTTTTTTCTTGTGTGCCTCCACTCACCACTTACAATTATTGATTTAAAGTAAGCCCAAAACAGCCAACTGGTTATTTACCTTTTCTTCACGTGCTTGCAGCACAATATAAGATAGTTTTTTTTTAAGTCATTTTAAGGTTAATTACAGTCTTTTCATAGATATAAATATCTACAGATTTATTTTTAAGTTAACCTTTGAAATTATCAATTCTCTGTACTGATTGTTATGTCCACTCTTCATGATTTACCTTTAATTATATGTAGAGCTGAGGTTTCTACATCTATAACACCACAAGTCAGACCTGCCACACCATTACCTGTACCTAAAATAGATCAACAGATTATACATACTATATGAAAAGTGTGGCAAATGAAATACAGTGAGCCTACATGAATAAATACCTGAATTTGCTGCTCCTTTAGTTTTTGGCATTGCATTTCATCCTTTATCACAAATGTCCATTTAACAGCAGATAGATTGTCTTTCCATCAGCCTTTGAAACCATACATATAATATCTTCTATCAATTGATTTTCTTTAACAGATTGAGGTTGTGAGGGGATCACTGACATGTAACAATGTGGGTAGTATTTTTTTTTTTTAACTAGAATTAAGTCTAACCTGCAGGTATTACACCAATTGGTAAGGTAGGTGATACCAATTGACTATTAACATCATTATAGTCTACATTATTCTCTTCCTGGGTTTTAATTATCAACCCATTTAATACCTCATGATATAACCCATCACCAGATACCACAACTATACTGTTAATTATAAGGTATAAGTCATCTTGGTATGTGCTTTGTTACCTGAGAGTGCTCAATTGCCAATATCTCTGATAAGGACCTACCTACACACCAAAATCAAATATCGGTAAAAAATAGTATTCTGTAGAGTGAGCATTGGATGGTACCTATCACTTTTGGACAACTATCTGATAACTATGTATCCATGAAAAACTGCTTGATTGTCACAAAAATTGAAGATTCATCTTTACTTTACATACACACCATATGAAAGAAATTTGCCAGTGGAATAGCCTACAATAGAGTACATTAAGCACTTGCACATTAAGTCCAACACTGACCATCCTCTGTCCTTGGTACAAAACTAAACATCAAGACACTTACCATAGAGTTATAAATAGAATACGTTAAATGACGTCAGTGTGGACTCTAGTTCTTATTATATAACTCTATGACACTTACCCATCACATTTACTTTCATCTACAGATTTTCCTATTTCATACCCATGATTTGATCTTTCTGTTACTGTAAGTAAGTAAGACAAAGAATTTATTGTATGAATCATACCAATTAACGTTCGGTTACATCTAAAATCATACTTTTGTACTATTGACTTGAAAGGAACATTAACGTGACAAAAAAATGCCAAGTCAGAATTTTGTATCAAAACATTTTTCTTTCATTTGAAATTCGATATCAGCCAATTATTGAGGATTGATCACATTCAAATTATACAGAATACAAGATTTTCATTTGGTACTGGAGCAAAACTAAATATGTAATGAAAAAAAAACATACCTTTAATATCCACAACAATGCCAGCTAGTTTAAACAATGGTGCTACTTTTTTATCATATGTTTGTCTAGCTCTTCCAGTACCTCCTATTGGGTTTATGACAACCAATAAATTCTTTGGTTTTCCTTAAACATAAAGAAATTTTAAATCAGAAAGATTAATCAGGGTTTTGTTTTTGTTATACGACACAAAACTCTTGGCCTTGGTTAAATGATATTTTTATGTAATGCCAAACATAGTAAAAAATTGAGATAAATAGTACTGATTTTCCTATGAGCCATAAGCTTACAATAATTTGACCTCTTGCATTAATGTGTCTTCATATCTGTAGAGTAAAAAACCACTGCCAAGAGGTGTCATATTTCTTACAAAACAAAATAAGCAGTTTTAACAAACATAAGCCAGTTTTCTGTTGATCGTCAAGGTTTTGAAGAAGGCAGAATGTTTGTTAAAGCAAATATTTTCAACATTTATTTTAAGTCATCAGAGTTACATAGTATTCACCTTGTTTAATTCTGTCTTCTATTGTAGATATCATATCAAGGAAGTCGCCTTCAAAACTAATGTGATCACATCTCCATTTGTTATCTTTTAATTTGGTGATATAGTAAATAGTGAGATATCTCGAGGCATCATCTATACAGTTTTTCTTATTAAATAATTTAGTTTCACAACCAACAACATCTTTCCATTCAACTGTCCGCTCTACAATAAATAGTAGAAAGAAAGAAATGTGAGGGCTGATAATTTGAGGATTTGAATGGAATAGTTTAAATGATAATATATAGAGGCGAGCTCAATTTGAATTGAAATCCTACTTCTGGTATTCAACATATCCTGGAAGTGACAACATTGTAAACACCATCAGTAGGCTAGGTTTTTTTTTCAATTACAGGAGAATTATTTCTAAAAAGTAATACAAATAGTCAAAAAAATTGAGCTCTATCAGCTGGTAGAGCAATTATCTAGATGACTGCATCACTTTAAGAATAACACCTGGTTCTCCCAGAATTCAACATGAAAATACGTACTAATCCAGTGTCACAATATCAGTGATGCTCATGAAAAGATTAATTACTTCCTAAATGGCTTGTTAAATATGGAGGTCAATCGTATTCAGAATTAGATGCTATGTACTTATGTCTAATACATACGACACATACATCTGTGCTATGTTCAAAGACAAAATACCTCTTTTACTTATGTCATAATAAGTCTAAATCATAATGCAAATGTTAAATTACATAAAACCACCGACACAATACCTAAAATGATACATGCAATGTCCTTTCACTTTCGACACTGTACATTGACAAAGCATAATTGTCTTTGCGTCTTTTACATTGCACTAGTTACATTACATCTTCGTCTTAGTATCTTCTAAATTGCATTAGCTAACTTGTTAAAAAAACCTCCATAGTTAAATTGCATGATTAAGTCAGGACATAAGGTTTTAATTCTGAACACTGCTATAGCCCAATTTGAGTTCTATAAGCAAATATTTAGACCTCTGTATTACTTTAAACTCTCATGCCATTGCTGGTAAAGCAAATATACAGACTACATCTTTCGGTTAAAAACAATCTAAGATATAATGCTTAATATATATAGCATATAATGGTTTACTAACTCACCTTTTGATTTTAATTTACTCTTTACTTCTGACTCATGGTATTTCCACTCAATGGCAGAATCATTAATAATCACATCTACTGAATTTCCTTCACTTTTAACATTTTCAATTCTTGTGTCCAGCTTTACATTATCAAATTCGGCCATGGTTTACTTTGATTCAAATAAAAAGGGCATAAAACATAATGAATTGAAATTTATTAAAAATTTTCTGCTTCTAGATGAAAGTAAACCTGCCTGCAATCATATAGGCATATGTGACCAAAATTTTTCAAATTGATCATCAATAAGCCTACTTTAGAATATACAGTGGTGTAACCTATTTTCGTGGATATAAGGATTCAACACCGAATTTCGTCAAAGTTAAAAAAAGGAAAAAAAAATTTTATGTCTTAGATGTTTCCTCAGATATTCTACAAAATAATAGAAATTGGTTTATTTCGATTTTCTTAATGAATCTCTTAGTATTTATCTTTAATACCAATTCATTATAACCAGTGACAATTCCTTCAAAGAACCACGATTTAAAAAAAAATAGTGACTGACAAAATATGATACGTAGCGTGATTTATTGCTAAAATTCACTGAAACAACATAAGAATATGGTCCACTTTGTGTTCCATAGAAATTTTCTGCTGACACGGACTCCGCTAGCTGATCACGTGATTCGTTGGATTATATTCTAGCAGACGACACTTGGAATTCCGATTACCGCTCGGGATTATAATGAAATTCGGCCGATAAAAAAAGGTGACGTTTGGTAATAAGTGAAATCCGCCATTTTGTATTTGTCAAAGTATATTAATACATTTTACCTTGATTGAAATTACTGGATTCATTCTACTAGCTGACATTGTACAGAAAACCCATTTTTATTAAAATAAACTGATGCGGAGGTCGAGCAAGGTCGCTCATGTAAATTATTAATCATTTCCAAAAATCCACGAATACTAGATTTCCACGAAATTAGGTTACTTGACTGTAATTGTGTGAGAAAAACTCAGAGCCCCTGGGGGCCAGTCCCCCTGTAAGAAAATTGCGCCCCGCCCTGAAAAATTAAGATAAATTAAAAATGACTTATGAGTCGCTATATTTGAGCCCCCTTAAAAAAATTTGCCCCCCCCCCCCCCCCCACAACCCATGAGACTCTGAGCTACCTACGGGCCTACTAAATCAAATTTCTGCTCAATCTTCCTTTTTTGCACACTCACCACATTTTTTCATCACCAAATTGATTATCAATAAGGTATGCAAAGACAGTGTAAGCTAGTGTTTTGATAGTCCTTGGTTTAAAATGTCTTAGCATCTGTCCGGAAAACTAGTCTACGTCATATAGAAGACAATACAATTTAACAGGATTATTAGATAGCCTTCTAGATTTAAGATTCTTTACCGTTTGTCTGACAATTGATCACCATCTAAGGTAGCCAATATCAGGATGGACACAAATCAACCACACAAAGCCTGTCTTAGATATAGAGTCTAAAGTTTTCTATTAAATGTCAACTGTATGAAATTATTTTCATTTGACCTATATAATAATAAACTCGATTATCGTGTACTAATGAAGGTCAAATTTGGCGGGATATATGAAACGCGGGAAACCGTTTTCAATGTCGTTTGGAGGACTTACTAAGTAGGATTTCTAAAACTTTGGTTATGCTGTGGGGTGTATTTCCATGTAAGGCGAACTTGCATGAACACATAATTGAATGTTGAAATTCATTTCTTTGACTTAAGCTAAACAGCTACCCTTCAAAATTGAGAACTGTAGAAAACAAGATTCTCCATCCGTTTGGTTTAAACAGTATTTATTTCCACAACAATGTACAAACAAATTTTATTTTATATACATGTGTATTGAAAGCAAATCATAAACTAACAAATATATTTACAAACAAGTGGTTGCCTAGCAAGATAGGCCCACTTCCCTGATAAATTTTGTCTAATCATACCAAAATATTTTGTATAAGATATTGTTGATTTAATCAAACACAACAAAAGGGCAATAACTCAAATTCCATTCATTGAAAAATCGTCAAATTCAAGACCAAAATCTCATTGTATTAGAGGATCACACAAGGTTTCATTAAAATCAGATGAAAACTGTAGTCTCTATTGTGTTCACAAACAAATTTTGACGCGTTTTTACTACGTCAAGGGCAATTACTCAAAAAGCATTCATCGAAAAATTGTCCAAGATCTCATGAATATAAATGATCACACCAAATTTCATTAAATCAGATAAAATCTGTAGCATCTGTTTGTCCTTGACCATTTCATATCTTAGTATCAGAAAAAGGAAT